CTATATTGTTATTTCATATAAATTTTCTAAATATAATGTTGAAAGTATTTCAAATGTATTGAAAAATTACAGGAATAGTATGAAGAACCTCTTTTTATTTCCTGAACCATTTGAAATCATGTTGTCAAAATAATGTCCTGAATACTTTGATGTGTAACTCTTACAAACATGACCATTCTCCTAAAAAGAACTTTAATGAGGTACCTGTCAAAACTCAAATGGAGTCTGCAGATAAGGTGATACAATATGTCAACATTAATTTCTTGATTTTGAGAGTTGAATTGCAGTTAGGATTTTAGGAGAATGGTCATGTTTGTAAGAGCTCACTAATCACCCGTTACCACTACCACCTCCCTGGACAGCTGACACAGAAGCTCTCTTTGCTCTTCCCAAGCTTCAGTATCCCATGCCAGGCAACGTGGATGCCTTCGCCATCCTACGGGGGTTCCAACAACTGGTGCTAGGCGGCTCCTGCTGCTCTATCACCACCTCCCTGCAAAGATACACAGGTGGTTGGTGCCACATGCCATTTTGCGTTCCCCACCAGCATTGTGTGAGAATTCCATTGGTTTCATATTCTTGTCAACACAAGGTATTGCCAGTTTTAAAAATTGTAGCTATACATGGTAGGCGTATAATGGTAACAAATCATAGTTTTAATTAGCATCTCTCTCATGACTAATGAGGTCAAGCATCTTTTCCTGTATTTATCATTTGACCATATTCTTTTGTGAGGTATCTACTCAACCGGTTTGCTCATTTTTTTTTGTTGTTGGCTTCTATTGATATATAAGGTCTTTATACATTACACAGGTTCTTTGTTTTATATATATATATATATAAAAGCCTTTTTTCTGTGTATATATATACAGTGGATATTCTTTCCTGTTATGTAGTTTGCTTTCCATTTTTAAAAATTAGATTGTTTGTCTTACACTTTGAAAGAATTTGTAGTTGTTGGGTGTAGTGTTCTACAAATATAATTTGGGTCTATTTGGCTGATTGATTCAGATCATCTATGCCTACTGTTTTTTTGTCTGGTTATTTAGCGATTGCTCAGGAAGAGGTATTTAGATCTCCTACTGCAATTTTGAAATCGTTTATTTCCCCCTTTATCTGTCAATTTCTGCTTTATGTATTCTGAAACTTTGTTACTGGGTGCACATACATCTGTGATGAATCATAATAAAATGCCTTTATCTCAGTTAATTAATGAGATAAAATAGACTTTAATATGAGATAAAATAAAATTCTTTTTAAAAATTCATCCTGCTTATTTCTGATTTTAATTGGAGAATTTAATCCAATTAAATGTAATACAGTTATTGATACAATGGTATTAAGGACTGTTTTTTCCTTCTGTATTTTGTTCCTTTGTTCCCCCTTTTCTTATGTGGATTATTTGAATATTTCTTAAATTCCATTTTAATGTATTGGCTTTTTAATATTTCTTTCCATATTTTTAAATGGTTGCTCTAAGGATTATAATATACATCTTTAATTTATACTCTCTGTTAGAGTTAATATTGTATCAATTCTTGTAAAATGTAGAAGTTTTACAATTGTTTAGGTTCTTTATTACCCCACCATCTTTTTTTATGGTAGTTATCATGTTATTTGTATGAAACCTACATTCATGATTAGCCCCACAGGAATATGTTATTCTTTCATTTAAACATTCACATGTGTTTAACACCCTTGTTAATATGGGTATTAAAGAAAAAAGCCTTTTACATTTACCCAGATATTTATCATTTCATTACTTCTTGACAATTAGACTTTTCCTTTGGCGTAATTTCCCTCCAGCCTGCAGAATTTTTTCTTAGTGTAATTTTTTCTTAGTGTAATTTCCCTCCAGCTTGCAGAATTTTTTCTTAGTTTTCTATCTTGGAATTCTGGATTAACTTTCCTGTTTTTCTTTCAACACCTTAAAGATACTGTGCTACTGAATTTGGCATAGTTTCTAATAAAAATCCAATTTTTTGATAATCAGTTTGCATACAAACTGATTTGTATCACTTTTCCTTGGTAAATAGAGTTTTCTTTCCTCTGGCTGTTTTTGATATTTTCTTTAGTTTTCAGCAAATAGATTTGCCATATATAAATTTGTTTGTTTTACTACATTTGGGGGTTTCTGAGCTTTAAAGATTTATAAATTACGTCTGTCATTTGATCTAGAATGTTTTCAGCTATTATTTCTTCACAAATTTGATCTGCTTCATTCTTTCTTTCCTCTCTCTGTGAGTCTCCACTTGCGTATATTAAAACAGTCTTTTTCTATTATCCCACAGGACCCTGAGGAACTATTCATATTTTATTTTTTGAGACAGAGACCCTTTCTGTCACCCAGGCTGAAGTGCAGTGGTGAGATCACAGGTCACTGCAACCTCCGCCTCCCAAGTTCAAGAGAATCTCCTGCCTAGGCCTCCCAAGTAGCTGGGATTACAGGTGCTTGCCACCACTCCTGGCTAATTTTTGTATTTTTAGTAGAGAGGGAGGTTTCACTCTGTTGGCCAGGCTGGTCTTGAACTCCTGACCTCAAATGATCTACCTGCCGCAGAACTCCCAAAGTGCTGGGATTACAGGTGTGAGCCACTGCACCTGGCCTTCAATTTAAAAAATAATTCCCTATTTATTTTCTTCAGATGGGAAAATTTCTTCTGGTCTATCTCCCAGCTCACTGCTTCTTTTCACTATCATTTTTGTTCTAACATGCCCACGCAGAGGTTTTTTTAATGTCAGATGTTGTATTCTCCAGTTCTTTTCTTTTCTTTTTTTTTTTTTTTGAGATGGAGTTTTGTTCTTGTTGCCCAGGCTGGAGTGCAGTGGCACGATCTTGGCTTGCTACAACCTCCGCCTCCCAGGTTCAAGCAATTCTCCTGCCTCAGCCTCCCGAGTAGCTGGGATTACAGGCATGCACCATCATGCCTGGCTAATTTTGTATTTTTAGTAGAGATGGGGTTTCACCATGCTGGATAGGCTGGTTTCGAAGTCCTGACCTCAAGTGATCCACACGCCTCGGCCTTCCAAAGTGCTGGGATTACAGGCGTGAGCCACCGCACCCGGCCGTATTCTCCAGTTCTATAATTTTTGTTCTACTTTGCTTTGTAATTCTATTTTTTTTCTGCTGAAAATGTTCATCTTTTCAATTTATTATAAGCATGTTTTCCTTTACCTCATTGAGCAGAGTTATGATAGTTGCCTTAAAGTTCTTATCTGATAATTCCATTGGAGTCATCTCAGTGCTGGCCTCCATTGATGATCTTTTCCCTTAAAAATAAGTCAGTTTTCCAGTTCTTCGTATGTGAAATATTTTTGAATTATATATTATTTTGAATAAATATCTGTAGAGATTGTGGATTATATAACTCCAAAGAGTGTTGCCATTTTTTTTTTCATAAGGAAATTAAATTGGCTAATCTGAGACTAAAAACTTTCCATGAAATATCAGTTCATTTGTTTGGATTTACCTGAAATCTTCTCTGAGTCTTCCCTGTTTGTGCATAGTTTGGGGCTCAGAGGGAGACTTGGGAAAATCTACAATCCAGAAATTTATTTATTTTATTTTTATTTTTTGTTTTTGAAAGAGCAACTTTTTTTAAACTTTATTTTTATTTTTTCATTATACTTTACGTTCTGGGGTACATGTGCAGATTGTGCAGGATTGTTACATAGGCATACACATGTATGCCTATACATGTTTGCTATACATACACATGTTTGCTGCATCCACCCCTCTGTCACCTACGTTAGGTACTTCTAATGTTATCCCCCCCTAAACCCCCCAGCCCCTGCTATCCCTCCCCTAGCTTCCCTACCCCTGAACAGGCTTTGGTATGTGATGATCCCCTCCTTGCGTCCATGTGTTCTCATTGTTCATCACCCACTTATAAATGAGAACATGCGGTGTTTGATTTTCTGTTCTTGTGTCAGTTTGCTGAGAATGATGGTTTCCAGCTTCATCCGTGTCCCTGCAAAGGACATTAACTCATCCTTTTTTATGGCTGCATAGTATTCCATGGTGTATATGTGCCACATTTTCTTTATCCAGTCTATCATGGATGGACATTTGGGTTGGTTCCAAGTCTTTGCTATTGTACACAGTGCCACAATGAATACACATGTGCATGTTTTCTTTGTAATAGAAAAATTTATAATTCTTTGGATATATACTTAGTAATGGGATTGCTGGGTCACATGGTATTTCTATTTCTAGACCCTTGAGGAATTGCCACACTGTCTTCCACAATGATTGAACTAATTTACACTCCCACCAACTGTGTAAGAGTGTTCCTGTTTCTCTACATCCTCTCCAGCATCTGTTGTCACCAGATTTTTTAATGATCACCATTCTAACTGGCGTGAAAAGGTATCTCAATGTGGTTTTGATTTACATTTCTCTAATGCCCAGTGATGATGAGCACTTTTTCATATGTTTCTTGGCTACATAAATGTCTTCTTTTGAGAAGTGTCTGTTCATATCTTTTGCCCACTTTTTGATAAGGTTGTTTTTTTCTTTTAAGTTCTTTGTAGGTCCTGGATATTAGCTCAGTGTCGGATGGGTAGATTGCAAACATTTTATCCCATCTGTTGGTTGCTGGTTCACTCTAATGATTATTTCTTTTGCTATGCAGAAGCTCTTAAGTTTAACTAGATCCCATTTGTCTATTTTGGCTTTTGTTGCCAAAGCTTTTGGTGTTTTAGTCATGAAGTCCTTGCCTATGCCTAGGTCCTGAATGGTTTTGCCTAGGTTTTCTTCTGGGGTTTTTATGGTGTTAGGTCTTATGTTTAAATCTTTAATAATCTATCGGAGGTTAATTTTTGTATAAGGTGTAAGGAAGGATTCTAGTTTCTGCTTTCTGCACACTGCTAGCCAGTTTTCCCAACACCATTTATTAAACAGGGAATCCTTTCCCCATTACCTGTTTTTGTCAGGTGTGTCAAAGATCAGACTGTTGTAGATGTGTGGCGTTACTTCTGAGGCCTCTGTTCTGTTCCACTGGTCTATATCTCTGTTTTGGTACCAGTACCATGCTGTTTTGGTTACTGTTGCCTTGTAGTATAGTTGAAGTGAGGTAGCCTGATGCCTCCAGATTTGTTTGTTTGTTTGTTTTGCTTAGGATTGTCTTGGCTATGTGGGCTCTTTTTGGTCTCATATGAAGTTTAAGGTGTTTTTTTTTCAGTTCTGTGAAGAAGGCCAATGGTAGCTTGATGGGGATAGCATTGAATCTATAAATTATTGTGGACAGTATGGCATTTTCACGATATTGATTCTTCCTAACCATGAGTATGGAATATTTTTCCATCTGTTTGTGTCTTCTTTTATTTCCTTGAGCAGTGGTTTGTAGTTCTCCCAGAAGAGGTCCTCATATCCCTTGTTAGTTGTATTCCTAGGTATTTTATTCTCTTTGTAGCAATTGTAATGGGAATTCACTCATGATTTGGCTGTTTGTCTGTTGTTGGTGTATAGGAATGCTTGTGATTTTTGCACATTGATTTTGTATCCTGAGACTGTTGAAGTTCTTATCAGCTTAAGGAGATTTTGGGCTGAGATGATGGGGTCTTCTAAAAATACAATCATGTCGTCTGCAAATAGAGACCATTTGACTTCCTCTTTTCCTAATTGAATACCCTTTACTTCTTTTTCTTGCCTGATTGCTCTGGCTAGAACTTCCAATACTATGTTGAATAGGAGTGGTGAGAGAGGGCACCCTTGTCTAGTGCCAGTTTTCAAAGGGACTGTTTCCAGTTTTTGCCCATTTGGTATGACATTGGCTGTGGATTTGTCATAAATAGCTCTTATTATCCTGAGATACATTTCATCAATATCTAGTTTATTGAGAGTTTTTAGCATAAAGGGCTGTTGAATTTTGTCAAAGGCCTTCTCTACATCTACTGAGATAATCATGTGTTTTTGTCTTTGGTTCTGTTTATATGATGGATTACTTTATAAGTTTGCATATGTTGAACCAGCCTTGCATCCCTGGGATGAAGCTGACTTGATTGTGATGGGTAAGTTTTTTGATGTGTGATATTGGCCTGAAATTTTCTTTTTTAGTTGCGTCTCAGCCAGGTTTTGGAACCAGGATGATGTTGGTCTCATAAAAGGAGTTAGGGAGGATTCCCTCTTTTTGTATTGTTTGGAATCATTTCAGAAGGAATGGTACCAGCTCCTCTTTATAAGTCTGATAGAATTCATCTGTAAACCCATCTAGTCCTGGACTTTTTTGGTTGGTAGGCTATTAATTGCTGTCTGAATTTCAGACCTTGTTGTTGATCTATTCAGGAATTCAACTTCTTCCTGGTTTAGTCTTTGGAAGCTGTAAGTGTCCAGGAATTTATCCATTTCTTCTAGATTTACTGGTTTACGTGTATAGAGGTGTTTGTGGTAATCTCTGATGGTAGTTTGTATTTCTGCAGAATCAGTGGTGATATTCATTTTATCATTTTTTAATTGAATCTATTTGATTCTTCTCTCTTTTCTTTTTTATTAGTCTGGCTAGCAGTGTATCTATTTTGCTGATCTTTTCAAAAAACCACCTCCTGGATTCATTGATTTTTTGAAGGGTCTTTTATGTCTCTATCTCCTTCAGTTCTGTTCTGATCCTAGTTATTTCTTGTCTTCTGCTAGCTTTTGAATTTGTTTGATCTTGCTTCTAGTTCTTTTAATTGTGATGAGAGGATGTCAATTTTAGATCTTTCCTCCCTTCTCATACAGGCTTTTATTGCTATAAATTTCCCTCTAGACACTGCTTTAAATGTGTCCCAGATATTTTTGGTACATTTTTTCTTTGTTCTCATTGGTTTTGAAGAACATCTTTATTTCTGCCTTTATTTCATTATTTATCCAGTAGTCATTCAGGAGCAGGTTGCCCAGCTTCCATGTAGTTATGCACTTTTGAGTGAGTATCTTAACCCTGAGTTCTAATTTGATTGCACTGTGGTCTGAGAGACTGTTTGTTACGATTTCTGTTCTACTGCATTTGCTGAGGAGTGATTTACTTCCAATTATGTGGTCAATTTTAGAGTAAGTGAGACATGGTGCTCAGAAGAATGTATATTCCGTGGAATTGGGGTGGAGAGTTCTGTAAATGTCTATTAGATTTGCTTGGTCCGTGCTTGAGTTCAAGTCCTGGATATGCTTGTTAACTTTCTGTCTCGTTGGTCTGTCTAATATTGACAATGGAGTGTTAAAGTTTTCCACTCTTATTGTTTGGGAGTCTAAGTCTCTTTGTAGGTCATTAAAAACTTGCTTTACACATCTGGGTGTTCCCGTATTGTGTACATACATAATTAGAATAGTTACCTCTTCTTGTTGCATTGATCCCTTTACCATTATGTAATGACCTTTTTTGTTTCTTTTGATCTTTGTTGGCTTAAAATTGTTTTGTCAGAGACTAGAATTGCAACTTCCACATTTTTTTTGCTCTCCATTTTCTTGGTAAATCTTCCTCCATCCTTTTATTTTGATCCTATGTGTGTCTTTGCACATGGGATGGGTCTCCTGAATACAGCACACCAATGGGTCTTGACTCTTTATCCAATTTGACAGTCTGTGTCTTTTGATTGGGGCATTTAACCCATTTACATTTAAGATTAATATTGTTATGTGTGAATTTGATCCTGCCATTTTGATACTAGCTCAGGATGCTTTGCCTGTTAGTTGACACTTTTTATTCATTGTGTTGATGGTCTTTACCATTTGGTACGTTTCTTTTGTTCCTTTCCATGCTTAGTGCTTCTTTCAGGAGCTCTTATAAGGCAGGCCTGGTGGTGACAAAATCTCTCAGCAATTGCTTGTCTGTAAAGGATTTTATTTCTCCTTTGCTTATGAAGCAGTTTGGCTGGATATAAAATTCTGGGTTGAAAGTTATTTTCTTTAAGGATGTTGAATATTGGTCCCCAGTCTCTTCTGGCTTGCAGGGATTCTGCTGAGAGATCTGCTGTGAGTCTAATGGGTAACTTTGTGGGTAACTTGACCTTTCTAGTTGTCCTTAGCTTTTTTTCCTTTATTTCAACCCTGGTGAATCTTGACAATTATGTACCTTGGGGTAGCTCTTCTTGAGGAATATCTTTGTGATGTTCTCTGTATTTCCTGGATTTGAATGTTGGCCTGTCTTGCTAGGTTGGGAAAGTTCTCCTGGATAATATCCTGAAGTGTTTTCCAACTTGGCTTCCTTCTCTTTGTCACATTCAGGTACACTGATCAAACGTAGATTAGGTCTTTTCACATAGTCTCATATTTCTTGGAGGTTTTGTGCATTTCTTTTCACTCTTTTTTCTCTGATCTTGCCTTCACATTTTATTTCATTGAGTTGATCTTCAGTCTCTGATATCCTTTCTTCTGCTTGATCTATTTGGTGATTGAAACTTGTGTACGCTTTGAGATGTTCTTGTGCTGTGTTTTTCAGCTTCATCAAGTCATTTATGTTTTTCTCTAAGCTGGTTATTCTAGTTAGCATTTCAACTAAACTTTTTTCAAGTTCTTAGTTTCTTTGCATCGGGTTAGAACATGCTCCTTTAACTCAGAGAAGTTTGTTACTAACCACCTTCAGAATATTAGACTACCATTCTCTAGATCTCTCCTTTATGATATCCTCCTCCCTTCACTCTTCAAAAGCTTTGGTTGCCCCATGCACTGTCATTTTTTTCTTTAGGCCATAGAAATGGTAGGCTTTCTGTCAGAGTTTTACATCCTGCGCTGTGATCACAGCCTCCCCTCAAGTTTTCTCTCCCAAATCAAAAACTCACTTTATGCCTCCACCTTCTACCAAGTATCAACTCCCCTGCTAATTACATCTAGTTCGGCTCATTTTCAAAATCACTTAGGGAGTTTGATTTCTTGTTGTTGTCCAGAATTTATAGCAATCATCTGTGTGAGGGTTGGTCTACCGGAAAGTATTCCATTATGCTAGAAGCAGAATTTGGTCTAAAATTTATTTTCAGAAGAATTAAAAAGATTATTGAAATGCAACTAATTCATGAAAGTTCAGGATACAAAATCAATGTACAAAAATTAGTTGCATTTTTATACACTGTTTATGGATTAGAAGAGGGACATCAGAAAAGAAACTGCCTTCTTCATATGATAATAGCTAATGTAATTATTTTGTATAATTAACCAGAATTTGCATTCACTACAATTTTCATTATTTTATTTTGCTATTAGTGAATCCATTTTCAATCACTGCTATTTAATTTTGATTGGCTAAATGAGCTAGTGAGCACTGACACATATAAATATACTATCTTATTATATTCATTCACAAAGTGAATGAAAGATTGATTACAATGAAAGTTTTTTTTGATTTTGAGGTACTTATATCAACTGTGGATACTGTTCAATTCTCCCACTTTTCTTTACATTACCTACTGTATATTCTACATTAGGATGGGATACAGTATACCATTTAATCTTTACATAAGATTAGGAAGTGAAATTATCAGTACTGTTGAAATCTAGCCATTCCAGATTTCTAAAATGTGAATTTTTGGAGCAAAACCCACAAACTTCTAAAAACTTTGGAGACCTCCTTACAGTTTGAAACACATTGCCTTGGCATTTTTAGAGAATGAATGTTCTATGAAACTTTAGGCATCACTTTTACTAATAAGATATAATTTAAAAGTAGAAATACAAACAAATACAAATACAAATTTTAATACTTTTATTCTTTTAAATTAATTTTGTAAAATATCACCCTTTTTTCAGTTCTAAATGTGTCCTGATTTAAGCATATGTAATTCTTATATGTTTACCTAGGTGTCTACTAGACCAAGTTCTCTATAACAATAAAATTAAAAAAAAAAAAAAAAAAACAAACTTCAATGCTCCTGCTTATTTTCTCTCTAGTTCCATGAGTCTGTCTTCTAACTGGTTCATTTATCATGGCCAACCAAAGCTCTAGAAAAATATCCCCAGATTCCTAGCTACTGCCATAGAAAACTGGTTTTACAATATAGTGTCCTCTATATGTAGTAGCAGGAATTACCTAATAACTAATTCAGGATCAGGAGGCAAGAAGGAATAAAAATCAAAGCAAGTTCCACCCAAAACTTAGACCCCCTTGCAGATCTATGGTAGGTTTTTCTAAGAACCAGCTTTTTGCTTATTTTCAGTTCATTTATTTCTCTGTTTTATTTTCAGTTCATTTATTTCTGCTCTAATCTTTATTATTTATTTTCATGTTTTCTTTAGGTTTAATTTGCGCCTCTTTTTGTAGTTTCTTAACATAGAAGCATAGATGATTGACTTGAGATTTCCTTTTTTTTTTTTAACAAGCTCTGAAAAATTTTATTAAAGAAAAATTTTGCATGGTTTACTTTTCACCAGTCTGTTCTGGCATGCTTCTAATGATGTCAGAATCACCTGGATCAATGACAGCCAGTGTGCAAATACTCTGTAGTATTTTCCACATGCTGTGCCCAGTTCAATATTATTGCCACTATAGTGATGGACACCAGTTTTGGTTAACATTGCATAGTGCTCTATTTTGGATTTCCTCAAAGCTGGGCGGTTAGCGAGAATGACCAATTTCACTTTGCCTTGTCTGATCATCTTCAGAGTCTGCTTGTACCCCAGCATGTACTTTCCACTTTTCATAACAAGTTGGAGCCTAGAGTTGATCGACTCCAGCGACTTTTTTGTCTTCTTTGCGGCCCCCATCTTCCTGCCTTAGGTGCGGGACAGCCCCCAACCAAGAGCAGACGCTAAGATGGCCAGGGAGCGAGAAAGCTTGAGATTTCCTTTCTAATGAAATGCTATAGATTTCCCTTTGAGTGCGGTCGGCTCCATTGCACATATTTAATGTTGCATTCTCATTTTTGTTACTTACAAATGTTTTAATTTCTTGAATCATCCTTTTTGATCTGTGGCTTATTTAAAAGTGTGTTTAATTTCTAAGTGTTTGGAGATGCTTAAACGTGTTATTGATGTGTAGTTTAATTCCTTCATGGTTAAATAACATACATTGTATGATTTCAATTCTTTTGAATCTACTCATGTTTGTTTTACAACAAAGGATATGGTCTATATTGATGTATATTCAATATGCACTTGAAAAGAGTATTATTATTTTGTTGTTGTTGGGTTGAATGACTTACAGGGGTCAATTAGATGTAACTGGTTGATAGCCTTTTATGTTCTTTTATATCCTTGCTGATCATCTGTTTATAGGTTATATAGATTACTAAGAGAAAGGATCATTAAAGTATCCCACAATAATCATGAATCTATTTCTATCAGTCTATCCATTTCTTCGTCACACATTTCGAAGCTGTTTTAGTTGCATACACATTTCAAATTGTTTTCTTCTTGGTGATTTGACCCTTTTATCATTTTGTAATGTACCTCTTTATTCCTGAAATTTCTCTATGCTCTAAAATCTACTTGATCTGATGTTATTGTAGCCAGTCCAGCTTTCTTTTGATAGTAAATATTTTTTCCACCTTTTCACTTTTAGCTTACATATGTAATTATATTTGAAGTAAATTACATGTAGATAGCATAAAATTGGGTAATTTTTAAATCAATTCAATCTCTTTTAATTTGTATGTTTAGACCATTTACATTTAATAACATTATTGCTATGTTTGAATTTACGTTTGGATTTAGTCCACCATTTTATTATATGCTTACTCCCATTTTTCATTACGCTACTTCTCTTTCTCTGCCTTCTTTTGGATCATTTGAACATATTTTAGTATTTCATGTTAGCTTATCTATTATGTTTTGACTATATTATTTTGAACAGTGTTTTTAATGGCTTCTTTAGACATTATAATACACCCATCAAACTTTTCAGCCAAGTTAGAAAACATATTTTTCTACTTCAAAAATCAGGTGGCACCATACTAACCTCTTTACTCTCTTTGTCATTGTCTTATATGTCACATCAGCATACATTAAACCCTCCATAACCGCAGTATTTTAAACAACAAGCATATTTTAAAAACACAATGCTGTTTCAAGTTTCTTTCCAGTATCACTCCCCTCCTGTTTGAAGAACTTCCTTTGCAAATTCTTTTAGAGAAGGTTTGGTGCCAATAAATGTGATTGGCTTTGTTCTGAGAGTTTTCACTTCACTTTTATTCCCAAAGCTTATTTTTATAGAATATTTTAAATAAATTTTATAGTTATTTTTATAGAATTCTGGGTTGACAGCTACTTTTAACACTTAAAAAATCGTGGGTCACTTCCTTCTGGCTTCAGTGATTTCTGATGAGAAATCAACAATTGTTCGAATCATGTCTCACAGTCTCTGAGGCTCTGTTCAATTTTTTTTCTGACACTCAGATTAAATGATTTCTGTAGATCTACCTTCAAGATTTTCAGAATGGTAGGTAAGTGAGCATTGACTTCCATTTAAAGTTATCTGCTTGAGGGACATGGACGAAGCTGGAAACCATCATTCTCAGCAAACTGACACAAAAACAGAAAACCAAGCACTGCATCTTCTCACTCATAAGCGGCTGTTGAACAATGAGAACACATGGACATAGGGAGAGGAACATCACACACTGGGGCCTGCCAGGGGGTGGAGGGGTTAAGGGAGGGATAGTAGGGGGTGGGGGGATTGGAAAGGGCTAACATTAGGAGAAATACCTAATGTAGATGATGGGGGGGTGGATGCAGCACACCACCATGGCGTGTGTATACCTATGTAACAAACCTGCACATTCTGCACTTGTACCGTAGAACTTAAAACAACATAAAAAATAAAATAAAGTTACCTGTTTGATTAGCCCCTAAAAAGAGTCAGCCTGTTCTTTGAAGCTTTGAAGCCAGACATTGACTTCTCCTCTCTAATAATTAAATAATTGGATGGCACCTTCTTCCAATACAGGGCTGTTTCATCTCCACTGAGAATCTGTTAATGTAGCCACATTTATCAATGATCCTCACTAGATCTTCTGAATAACTTGCGGCAGCTTCTACATCAACATGTGCTGCTTCACCAGGTGCTCTTATGTTATGGAGATGGCTTCTTTCCGTAAATCTCATGAACCAACCTCTGCTGGCTTCCAACTTTTCTCTTCCAGCTTCCTCACCTCTCAGCCGTCACAGGATTGAGGAGTGTTAGGGTTTTTCTCTGGATTAGGCTTTGGCCTAATGGAATGTTGTGGCCTGTTGGATCTTCAGTCCAGACTATGAAAGCTTTTTCTATATCAGCCATATTGTTTCACTTATCATTTATGCAGTCACTGTAGCAGCACTTTGAGTTTTTTCTTTGCATTCACAGCTTGGCTAATTGGCACAAGAGGCCTAACATTTGGCCTCTTTTGGCTTTTGACATGGCTTTCTCACTGTTTAATCATTTTTAGCTTTTGACTTAAGGTGAGAGATATGCAAGTGTTTCTTTTACTTGAACACTTAGATGCCATTGTAGGGTTATTAATTGGCCTAATTTCAAAATTATTGCATCTTAGGGAATAGGGAGGCCCAAAGAGAGGGAGAGAAATGGGGAAGGCCAGTGTGTGGAGCAGTCAGAACATGAACATTTATCAATTAAGTTTGCAGTTTCATATGGGTGAGATTCATGGCACTCCAAAATAATTACAACAGCAAAGACCACTGATCACAAATCATCAAAACAAATATAATAATAATAATAATAACAAAGTTTTAAGTATTGTGGGAATTAGCAAAATGTGATACAGAGATAAAATGTGAACAAAAGGTGTTGGAAAAATGGTGCTGATAGATTTGCTTAACACAGGGTTGTCACAAACCTTGAAATTGTAAAAAACACAGTATCTGTGAAACAAAATAAAGTGAAGCTCAGGGGCTGCTGGCAAGATGGTTGAAAAGGAACAGCTCCAGTGCACAGCTCCCAGCAAGACTGACACAGAAGGGAGTGATCTCCACATTTCCAGCTGAGGTACCTGGTTCATCTCATTTGGACTGGTTGGACAGCAGCCCAAGGAGGGTGAGCTGAAGCAGGCTGGGGCGTCACCTCACCTGGGAAGTGCAAGAGGCCAGAAAACTCCCTCTTTTAGCTAAGGAAATCCATTAAGGACTGTCCCCTGCACTCCGGCCCAGATACTGTGCTTTTCCCATGGACAACCCACAGACCAGGAGATTCCCTCTGGTGCCTACAACACCAGGGCCCTGTTTTTCCAGCACAAAACTGGGAGGCCATTTGGGAAGATATCGAGCTAGCCACAGCAGTTTTTTTTTCATATCCTGGTGGGGTCTGGAAGACCAGTGAGACAGAACCGCTCAGTCACCAGCAAAGGGGGCTGAAGCCAGGGAGCCAAGTGATCTGGCTTGGTGAGTCCCACCCATGAAGACCAGCAAGCTAAGATCCACTGGCTTGAAATTCTCCCAGACAGCAAAGCAGCCTGAGCTTGAGCTGGGACATTCCAGCTCGGCGTGGGGAGGGGGGTCCCCCATTGCTGAGGCTCAAGCAGGCAGTTATATTACAGTGTAAACAAAATCACTGGGAAGTTCAAACTGGACGGAGCCCATGGCCGCTCAGCAAGGCCTCTGCAGGCAGAAAAAAGGCAGGAACCCATCAGGAACTTATAAACAAAGCACCCACCTTCTTGGGACAGAGCACCTGGGAAAAGGGGCTGTTGTGCGTACAGCTTTAGCAGACTTAAATGTCCCTGCCTGGAAGCTCTGAAAAAAGCAGCAGATCTCCCAGCACAGTACTCCAGCTTGGATAAGGGACAGACTGCCTCCTCAAGTGGCTCCAGACCTCCGTGTATTCTGACTGGGAGACGTTTCCCAGTTGGGTCCAACAGACACCTTATACAGGAGAGCTCTGGCTGGCATGTGGCAGGCACCCTTCAGAAATGAAGCTACCAGAGGAAGGAACAGGCAGCAATATTTGCTGTTATGCAGCCCCTGCTGGTGATTCCCAGGCAAGCAGGGTCTGGAGTGGCCCTCCAGCAAACTCCAGCAGACCAGCAGCAAGGAGGCCTGACTTTTAGAAGGAAAACTAAGAAAAAAAAGAAATAGTTTCAACATCAACAGAAAGGACGTCCACTCAAAGGCCCCATCCAAAAGTAACCGACTTCAAAGACGAAAGGTAGATAAATCCACAAATATGGAATAAATCAGTGCAAAAAGGTGAAAATTCCAAAAGCTAGAATGCCTCTTCTCCTCCAAGGGATCACAACTCCTCACCAGCAAGGGAAAAAAACTGGACGAAGAATGAGTTTGACAAGTTGACAGAAGAAGGCTTCAGAAGATGAGTAATAAAATTCTCCAAGGTAAAGGAGCATGTTCTAACCCAATGCAAGGAAGCTAAGAACCTTGAGAAAAGGTGAGATGAAATACTAACTAGAATAACCAAGATAGAGAAGAACATAAACGACTTGATGGAGCTGAAAAACACAGCATGAGAACTTTGTGAAGAAAACACAAGTTTTAATAGCTGAGTCGATCAAGCGGAAGAAAAGATATCAGAGATTCAAGATCAACACAATGAAATAAAGTGAGAAGACACGATTAGATAAAAAAGTGAAAAGAAATGAACAAAGCCTCTAAGAAATATGGGTTACTTGAAAAGACCAAATCTACGTTTGATTGCTGTACCTGAAAGTGACAGGGAGAATAAAACCAAGCTGGAAAACACTCTTTAGGATATCCAGGATAACATCCCCAATCTACCAAGGTAGGACAACATTCAAACTCAGGAAATACAGAGAACACCACAAAGATGACCCCAAGACACATAATCGTCAGATTCAGCAGGGTTGAAATGAAGGAAAAAATGCTAAGAACAGCCAGAGAGAAATGTTGGTTTACCCACAAATGGTAGCCCATCAGACTCACAGCGTTTTTCTCAGCAGAAACCATACAAGCCAGAAGAGAGTGGGGGCCAAAATTCAACATCCTTAAAGCAAATAATTTTCAACCTAGAATTTAATATCCAGCCAAACTAAGCTTCATAAGCAAAGGAGAAATAAAATCCTTTATGGACAAGCAGCTGCTGAGAGATTTTGTCACCACCAGGCCTGCCCTACAAGAGTCCTGAAAGAAGCAATAAGCATGGAAAGGATCAACCGATATCAGCCACTGCAAAAAAACACATCAAATTGTAAAGACCATCAATGCTATGAAGAATCTGCATCAACTAACAAGTAAAATAATCAGCTGGCATCATAATGACAAGATCAAATTTACACATAACAATATTAATCTTAAATGTAAACAGGCTAAATGCCCCAATTGAAAGATAGAAACTGGCAAATTGGATAAGGAGTCAAGACCCTTTGGTGTGCTGTATTCAGGAGACCCATGTCACGTGCAAAGACACACAAAAGCTCAAAATAAAGGTATGAAGGAATATTTACCAAGTAAATGGAAAGCAAAAAAAAAAAAAAAAAAAAAAGCAGGGGTTGCAATCCTAGTCTCTGATAAAACAGACTTTAAACCAACGAAGTTCAAAAGAGACAAAAGGGCATTAAATAATGGTAAGGGGATCAATGTAACAAGAAAAGCTAACTATCTTAAATTACTAGCTATCTTAAATAACTATACACCTAATACAGGAGCACCCAGATTCATAAAGCAAGTTCTTAGAGACCTACAAAGAGACACAGACTACCACACAATAAGACCGGGAAACTTTAACACCCCACTGCCAATATTATACAGATCAATGAGACAGAAAATTAACAAGGATATCCAGGACTTGAACTCAGATCTGGACCAAGCGGACCTAACAGACATCTACAGAACTCTCCACCCCAAAACCACAGAATATACATTCTTCTCAGCACCACATCTCACTTATTCTAAAATTGACCACATAATTGGAAGTAAAACACTTCCTCAGCAAATACAAAATAACAGAAATCATAACAAACAGTCACTCAGGCCACAGTGCAATCAAATTAGAATTCAGGATTAAGAAACTCACTCAAAACTGCACAACTACATGGAAACTGAAAAAACTTCTCCTGAATGACTACTGGATAAATAATGAAATGAAGGAAGAAATAAAGATGTTCTTTGAAATCAGCGAGAACGAAGACACAATGTACCAGAATCTCTGGTACCTTTAAAGAAGTGAGTAGAGGAAAATTTATAGCACTAAATGCCTACATGAGAAGGGAGGAAAGATCTAACATTGACACCCTCTCATGACAATGAAAAGAACTAGAGGAGCAAGATCAAACAAATTCAAAAGCTAGCAGAAGACAAGAAATAAATAAGAACAAAGCAGAACTGAAGGAGATAGAGACATAAAAAACCCTCCAAAATATCAATGAATCCGGGAACTGGTTTTTTGGAAAGATCAACAAAATAGATTGCTAGCCAGACTAATAAAAAATGAAAAGAGAGAAGAATCAAATAGATGCAATAAAAAATGATAAAATGAATATCACCACTGATCCCACGAAATACCAACTACCATCCGAGAATACTGTAAACATCTATATGCAAATACACTGGAAAATCTAGAAGAAATGGATAAATTCCTGGACACCTACACCTTCCCAAGACCAAACCAGGAAGAAGTTGAATCCTTGAATAGACCAACAAAAAGGTCTGAAATTCAGGGAGCAATCAATAGCCTACAAACCAAAAAAAGTCTAGGACCAGACAGGTTCACAGCCGAATTCTACCGGAGGTACAAAGAGGAGCTGGTACCATTCCTTCTGAAACTATTCCAAACAATACAAAAAGAGGGAATCCTTCCTAACCCATTTCATGAGACCAACATCATCCTGGTACCAAAACCTGGCAGAGACACAATTAAAAAAGAAAATTTCAGGCCAATACTCCTGATGAACATTATTGCAAAAATCCTCAATAATATACTGGCAAACCAAATACGACAGCACATTAAGAAGCTTATCTATCATGATTAAGTCAGCTTCATCCCTGGGAAGCAAGTCTGGTTCAACAAACACAAATAAATAAACGTAATCCATCACATAAACAGAACCAAAGACATAAACCACGTGATTATTGCAATAGTTGCAGAGAAGGCCTTTGACAAAATTCAACAGCCCTTTATGCTAAAAACTTTCAATAAACTAGATATTGATGGAATGTATCTCAAAATAATAAGAGCTATGTATGACAAACCCACAGCCAATATCATACTGAATGGGCAAAAACCGGAAGCGTTCCCTTTGAAAGCCGGCACAAGACAAAGATGCCCTCTCTCACCACTCCTATTCAATATAGTATTGGAAGTTCTGGCCAAGGCAATCAGGCAAGAAAAAGAAATAGAGGATATTCAATTAGGAAAAGAGGAAGTCAAATTGTCTCTATTTGCAGACGACATGATTGTATATTTAGAAGACCCCATCATCTTAGCCCAAAATCTCCTTAAGCTGATAAGCAACTTCAGCAAAGTCTCAGGATACAAAATCAATGTGCAGAAATCACAAGCATTCCTATACACCAACAACAGACAAACAGAGAGCCAAATCATGAGTGAACTCCCATTATAATTGCTACAAAGAGAATAAAATATCTAGGAATATAACCAACAAGGGATATGAGGAAATCTTCAGGGAGAACTACAAACCACTGCTCAAGGAAATGAGAGAGGACACAAACAGATGGAAAAACATTCCATGCTCATGATTAGGAAGAATTAATATCATGAAAATGTCATACTGCCCAAAGTAATTTACAGATTCAATGTTATCCCCACCAAACCAAAGCCAAGATAATCCTAATGAGAAAAAAAAAAAAAAAAAAAACAAAGCTGGAGGCATCACACAGAGATATAGACCAATGGAACAGAACAGAGGCCTCACAAACAATGCCAAACATCTACAATCATCTGATTTTTGACAAACCTGGCAAAAACAAGCAATGGGGAAAGGATTCCTTCTTTAATAAATGGTGTTGGGAAAACTGGCTAGCCATATGCAGAAAGCTAAAATGGATCTCTTCCTTACACTTTATACAAAAATTAACTAAAGATGAATTAAAGATTTAAACATAAGACCTAAAGCCATAAAAACCCTAGAAGAAAACCTAGGCAATACTATTCAGGACATAGGCATGGGCAAGGACTTCATGACTAAAACACCAAAAGCAATGGCAACAAAAGCCAAAATAGACAAATGGGGTCTAATTAATCTAAAGAGCTTCTCCACAGCAAAATAAACTATCATTAGAGTGAACTGGAAACCTACAGAATGGGAGAAAATTTTTGCAATCTACCCATCTGACACAGGGTTAATATCCAGAATCTACAAAGATCTTTAAATTTATATATAAAAAAAAATCCCATGAAAAAGTGGGCAAAAGATATGAACAGACACTTCTCAAAAGCAGACATTTATGCGGCTTACAAACATGAAGAAGTGCTCATCATCACTGGTCATTAGAGAAATGCAAATCAATACCACATTGAGATACTGTCTCACACCAGTTAGAATGGTGATCATTAAAAAATCTGGAGATAACAGATGCTGGAGAGGATGTGAAGAAATAGGAACGCTTTTACACTGTTGGTGGGAAGGTTAATTAGTTCAAATATTGTGGAAGAGAGTGTGGTAATTCCTCAAGGGTCTAGAAATAGAAATACCATTTGACTCAGCAATCCCATTACTGAGTATATGCCCAAAGGATTATAAGTATTCTACTATACAGGCACATATGTTTATTAGAGCACTGTTTACAATAGCAAAGACTTGGAACCAACCCAAATTCCCATCCATGATAGACTGGATAAGGAAAATGTGGCACACATACATCCTGGAATACTATGCAGCCATAAAAAGGATGAGTTCATGTCCTTTGCAGGGACATGGATGAAGCTGGAAACCATCATTCTCAGCAAACTAACACAAGAACAGAAAGCCAAACACCACACATTCTCTCTCATAAGTGGGAGCTGAACAATGAGAACACATGGACACAGGGAAGGAAACATCATATATTGGGCCCTGTCAAGGGGTGGGGGGCCAGGGGTGAGATAGCATTAGGAGAAGTACCTAATGTAGACGGCAGGGTGATGGATGCAGTGAACCATCATAGCACGTGTATAACTGTGTAACAAACTTGTATGTTCTGCACATGTACCCCAGAACTTAAAGTACAATAAAAAAAAGTGAAGCTCAATTAAATAAGGTATGCACTATTAGGGAGGTGCACTGCTGTTTTTTCTTATTGCAGTTCATTAGCATTCTACCTTAGCATACGGCTATACATTAATAGTAATTTAGCTCCTTTAAAAAACAATTTAAAGTAGGGCTAAAGAAAAAAAAAATACATCATGATTTAACTGAATATAAAAATCTCCTTAGAGTAAGACGCTCTTAGCATTATCACTTTTCTTTCTGTCATGAAATAATCTTCTGATGCAGGTATTTTTCTCAGTTTCTGGGAGGTAGAATATATGAAGAGTGAAGACAGAAATTTAAATAAATATAAAACTGATATCATTAAGTTAGATACAGAGTACTATATAATCGTTAAGACAAATTTAGCCCTTCTTTGAGGTGCCAGTAATTCGAATGTTATATCAAAAGGAAATATAATTTTAGGCTCAATATATATAGTTGCTGCTTGTATACTCATTCTACTTTAGGGAAAGCCTTATTCATATACAGACTAAGAAGCTGCTCACTTAGTATGATTTGGTTGGTACTGATATCAATGGAGGCTTCCATCTCAGAATTTTCCTCAACTCTTTTAAGAAGGAGTCTTAGTGTATTTGTTCCCATTCCTCACACAGACAGTTGAACATTTGTTATATTTAAAGACCTTATTAAAAGAAAAATATTGCCTTTTCTTTATATAGACACATACTTCCTTTTAATCAGCAAACGTATCATGATTATTTTTCCAAAGTCCTGTGTTATATATTTTTTAGAAGACAAATTTTGACATTAACAAGATACCATCTTAAAATCTTTTCCTTTGTTCTTAAAAAAATCTTATCCTGCTATGCATAAATAAAATGAAATTATTCACAGTATGAGGGTTTTACGATGTGAAAAGCAATAAGTGATATTTTATGAAACCATAAACTCACAGAATTGGGGAGCGTACTTAAGAAAATAATTACCCAGCATCTAAAAATGCACTAAAAACACTATCAAATGTCTATAAAGTTCCCATAAATGGCAAGAAGACCTGATATATCATATCTAAGAAGTACAAAAAACAACATAATTTTTAAAAACCCCTAAAACTTGGTAAGAATAGTATACTTGCAAGATATAACTATAAATCTGCCTAAGAAAGTCCCCAGGAAGAGTTAGTGATCACCAAAGTGTGAGCTTCCTATGACCTTAGGAAGGCGCATGCATCCTGATACACACACACACACCCCACCCATAGAACCTAAGAGTGCAAATGCGAAACTGGCTTTAACTCCAGCAGTAATGATTACATTTAATTGGAGGAAACAGAAATCAATTTTAGAAATATAACATTATGATACTTCATAAAGTATTTGGAAGAATTTATAAATGTTTCCAAGATATTGTAAGAGACGGACCAAATTCTGAGCCTAGTCCTTAATGGACCTTTATGTTATTCCTTTAGGCAAACCACAAAAGTTCAGAACATTGAGGCATGACTATGAAATGTTTGTAATGAAGTAAACATTCTTAGCGACAGTTACCTGTTATATAACTGAAAAATACAAATATCTACAAATTGAATTATTAATGTTTCTACTGCAGGGAAGTATAATTTTTCCCCGATCTGTTCATGGATTAACAGAAAAAAATGCATACAAATTTATTTTGTGCAGTCATGTTCACAGGAGTCACACAAAATATAAAATCTCAAAGAAATGGCCAGATGACGTTTTTATACCATCCTGAGGTTACAGAAAGAATAGGGGCTTGAGGCTTCTCCCAAAACAGTTGATGGTGGCAACACAGGTTATGGGAGCAGGGAAGAGGAGGCCTGGCTAGCAAAGGTGGTCTGGTTGTACAGATGAAACCTCACAGGTAGCAGAATCTCAGTTAAAGGTGTCAGACTTTCAGTTACTCTTTCCTCGATCCAGACACAGGAGGGCTTCAGAGAAAGCTTGGCTGCATCAATGCATATTTTCTCTACAGAAGAAAATCTTTCCCACAAAAGACAGCTTTGAAGGGTTGTTTGCAGGCCCTCTGCATATCTTTCTCAAAATACACCAAATAAGTATATTCTAGAGTGATTTAGTTTGGTTTCCTTCACTATATTTTACCATATACATTTCAAGACTATCAATAGTAGCTATCCTTTACCTCAAAATATTGATTAAAAAAAAAAAAGAAACAAAACAAAAGAAAAATCATCAGGAAATCTGAAAATTCAAGCCAGATGCTTGGGCACAATTTGTGCAATTATACTTTTAAAAGCTAACATATTTGATGCCTCATAATCTGCCTTATCTCTTGCCATCCATTTAAAGAAAAAGAACAAAAACCAGAGGGCCAAGACTTAATACTTTTCATTCTAAATGGGAAAAAAGAATTTCAAAGAGCATTGTTTTTCAGCAATTTGAATCTAATTTTTCATTTCTAATACAATTACTTAAGAAGGACATAATTTCAAATTGTTTTATTGGACTTTAGAATAATGTTTAGTTTTGCTGAGAAGCCACGTAAAGGGTAAGAACACAGATTCCAGAGCCAGATCTTGTAGAATCAAAATCTGATTCTTCCATTTATTTGCAATTTGCTGTCTCTTGCCTCACTTTATCATCTGTTATGGGGGTCAACAAACTCTTTATGTAAAAGGCATCAGACAGTATACATTTGAGGCTTTACAGGCCACATACAGTCTTTTTTTTTTCTTGGAATTTTTCCTTTTTTTTGAAAATGGAGCTATAAAGCCACATACAGTCTTTTTTTTTTTTTTTTTTTTTTTTTTAGACCAAGTCTCACTCTGTCACGCAGGCTGGAGTATAGTGGCGCAATCTGGGCTCACTGCAACCTCCGCCTCTTGGGTTCAAGTGATCCTCATGCCTCAGTCTCCTGAGTGGCTGGGATCACAGGCACATGCCACCATACCTGGCTAATTTTTGTATTTTTAGTAGAGATGAGATTTCACCATGTTGGCCAGGCTGGTCTTGAACTCCTACCCTCAAGTAATCCGGCTGCTTTGGTCTCCCAAAGTGCTGGGATTACAGATATAAGCCACCATGCCTGGCCTAACAACTCTTTAAAAATGTAAAATAAATATTAATGGCAGTACAAAAACAGGTTAGCAGTTTACTGACACCTGATCTACATAAGAGAGAGAATATTTACCTCACAGGGTTCTTAAGACACTTAAATGAATACATGTAAAGCACTTATAAAGTGTGGGCACACTGTAGAAGCTATAAGATGTTTATCATTACTACTATATTTCTAATCAAATTTTACTTTCAAAATACCTAGTATTCCTGGATGGCTTTTTTTTTTTTTTTTTTTTTTTTTTTTTGAGATGGAGTCTCGTTCTGTCACCAAGGCTGGAGTGCGGTGGTATGATCTAGGCTCACTGCAACCTCTGCCTCCCAGGTTCAAATGATTCTCCTGCCTCAGCCTCCTGAGTAACTGGGATTACAGGCATGCACCACCACGCCCAGCTAATTCTAATTTTGTATTTTTAGTAGAGACAGGGTTTCTCCATGTCGGCCAGGCTGGTCTCGAACCCCTGACTTCAGGTGATCTGCCTGCCTCGGCCTCCCAAAGGTGCTCGGATTACAGGTGTGAGCTACTGCGCCTGGCTTCCTGGATGTTTTAGCATTACTTAGTGATCTGAAATTTGGAGACAGATTTTTCTTTCTCGGTTTATTCTACATTGCCAGAAAAGCAGTTTAACATAGTATGCTGATGAAGCTTCTAAATGTGGCATTGAAATCAAGTGATTGGAAGAAAGGGCCATAAAGACTGAGGCAGGTGCAGCTGAGCAGGAGCAGCCATAAGGAGAAAGATGAAAATGTAGTAACTGAGTAACCTGAAACATTCAATTAAACACAAAAACCATTTCTTAATCATTACAGTATTTCTCTCTAGTCACAGATATATGCAAACCTATTTATCTAGGTGACCTTGAAATACCAGTCATTTACTTTTTTGAACAAAGGGGATAATCAGAAAGCAGAAAATAAGTACGAGCTTGGTTAAAATGCAATAGTATTTTAATGTACCAGAGTTCTAAGCAAGATGAGTTTGCCTTAAGTTTTGCAACTGACTGAATGTTTGTGTTCTCCAAAAATTTCTATGCTGAAATTCAAACCCCCTACGTGATGATACATGATGATACTAGGTGGTGGGGTCTTTGGGAAGAGCAATGTGAAGATACAATGGGATTGGTGCTCTTATCAAAGGACTCCAGAGAGTTCTCCAGCCCTCTTTTTGCCATGTGAGGATACACGAAGAAGACGGCACTCTGCAACCAAGAGGGCTCTCACCGGAACCCAACCATGCTGGCAATCTGACCTCAGACTTCCAGCTCCAGAGCTGTAAGAAATAAATTTCTGTTGTTTATAAGCCACCCAGTCTATGGTACTTTGTTATGGCAACCTGAAATGACTAAGACAAGTATTATCAAGAGTAACGGCACATATTTATGAAAATCACAACATGATATAAAAACTTACGAAGAAAAAATATCTTTAACAACCAGGAGACAATTTGTAATTTTGAGCAGAGAGCTTAGAAATGGAAAACAAACATAAAGCCCAGCCCTTTTGTGATTTATAAAGCACAGGGTGAATAGGGCCATATACAAATATTTAAATGCAAAACACACAAGAGGGTAAGTTTCAAACATTCTACAAAGTTTTATATTCAAATACAGAGCTTAATGAATTAAACTCTGTAACACAGTGATGTCTAGATAGGAAAGAAAACTTGCTTCAACTTTAATAAAATACATTTTAATTGTACAATATGCTAAGTACAAATGCAGTAGCTCAGCTTATTCACACTTATATGGCATCCTGTGACTACACGTTGCCCAACTTACTTCTACGTAATCTTTACATGAAAATGTGGAGTAGGGATGAATGTCTATAGGCTAAAAACTAGATTTTGGAGATCATGAAAACAAAGAAAAAGGGTACTTCTCTTTCTTGAAAATATTTGCATAGGTATGAGCTACTGTATTTTGTGGAATACCAATTAACTTAGTGTCAAAATAGTTTTAAGGATTTTTATCAAAGTCATTTATGTCCAAAGTTTAAAATTTGAGTAGTAGTGATAATAGCTTTAAAACAAAACAAAACAAAAACAACAAAACAACATCAACAACAAAACAAAGCAGAAAAAGCAGAGTAGTCTCTGACCTTCCCTCTACCATACCTGTCCTGGTTGCTCTCCCAAGTAAGAGCCTCTTCATCATTTAGTTGTCATTCTGGTAGACACATCTGTATTTCTAATATCTATCATACTCTTGAATCATCTATCTTAAAACAGGCTGCTTGGTACTGAATCCTAGTACCAGACTTACTAGCTTTGTGAACTTTGGCAAACTACATAACATTTTAAGGCCTCAGTTTACTTATCTATAAAATGGAAATACTAAAACCTACCACATAGGCTTATTGTGAGGATTAAATGATGTAAAATTCTGTATGTGTAAAACCTGCTTATAATAATCATATAGTAGTAACTATGATTACTTTTATTACTACCTAATCGTGAGTGAGGATTTGAATTCTCAATCCATTCTTTCTCCATCCTCCTAAAATAGTTGTAGCATATAAGTTTTTAAAAAAATTACATTCATTGTTTCCATCATGTCCTTTCTATATCTGCAACTGTAGATTAATGAGATTTTCATTGTGCATCCTCTAAAACAATTTACAAGAGAGATGGTAAGCTAGCTAAGATGCTGAGCCACTGGAATTTTCTGGATAACTTTCAATTTGCCAAATGCCAAATCACTGGTATTTCTGGACTATGAGAAACTGGAATATAAAACTGTTGTTGTAGCTTTATGTGCGTTTATTAAAGTCTCTGTGAAACATGTACCATTACCGCATTTACCATAACATCTTTATTACTCACTTATCTTATTTTTGCCTTCTGTTTTCACAGCTACGGACATTAGAGATGGTATACATTGTGTATTACAGTTTTTCTTTACATGCAATGTTTATCGGGATCAACATCATTGCTCTATAAGCTGTTTCTCCATGATTAAAATGAAGGCTTCTATTTATAGTTCACAATTAGAAGTGATCTCTGATTTGTGAGAAATAATAATTTGTGTGCCTGAGATGTATCTAAAATTCTAAAGAACATTTATGTAACAGTTTAAGTTCATGAAAAAGTTTGGTAAGTCACAATTTATTTTAACAAAGTGCTATGGTAAATTGGAGGCATTTAAAAGGAAAAAACAAGTCAGTAATAATTACTGAACAGTCAAACATTAATTTACTTTATATCTCTTAATCTGAAGATGCAACATTTTCATCCAGCCAACGAAATAAAAGTAGATACTATCCATGAAAAGGTTCTCAAATTATCCCTCATTAAATTTTAAGTTCTCTGAAGATAACGATATGTCTTATTTACCTTATATCATCACTGCCTAGGATTATGCCTGACTAGTTGGTATAGAGATGTTCAACATACACTGAATAAATAAATTCAGCTTAACTTAGTCTCAGATCATTTGCAAATGCTTGACAGTAAGACACCCAGTCCCATACTAACGCAGCTTTTTTCTTTGCAGCATAAACAAAGCACACTAGTTGGTACATTTTACATTTTATTGATGGTGACACATAGTAAAAATTGAATGTATATTAATTACCCATGGTCCCTTATAAATGTTTAAGGTTATTTTTCACAAGCACAATTCATACTGCAAAGTCATAAACTAAATTTTTAAAAAAGACAATTAAAAAATAAAATACTTTAAACATATCATAAATCATGAAGGGATGAGATGGCTTGTAACTCTGACTTAAACATTCTACATACAATCAACTGTAGATCTTCACTAAGAAGTGGATAATTCTAGGGAGCCCTTTTGAAGGAAGATTTAGTTTTTAAATAATTAATGGCCAGATTAGCATACTATGTTCGTAAAAAACTCAATCAGAGTCCATACATGCAAGCAGAAAATTATATTCTTAGATGCATAAACATCTCTTACAAAATGTAAAGTATTCTGTTTGCCTTAGATAGATTCCTTGAATTGAACATTGCTGAGGTTTCCAACTACTATCTTTTCATGTCTTCACAGCCTGGATCTGATCTGACAACAAAAAACAAACAAAAATTATCAATCTTTATAGGGCAAAATCTATTTTCTACAGTAATCTAAGACAAATCTATACACATGTTGGAAGCTTATCCATACATTTGCTTTTGTCATGATTATTACTATTTTTTAGAGATAGGGTCTTACTGTGTGGCCCAGGCTGTGCTGTAACTTCTGGGGTCAAGGGGTCCCCCCACCTTCACCTCTCCAGCAGCACTCTGCTTCGTCTCCCTGCCTCCCTTTCAGGCGCAACTATCTGTAACTCTCTTTTATGTGAATACTTGTAATGCTTCTTCAAATATCAGTGCCTTCAATGTAAGATGAGACATCAGCTCTCTCACACTCCCATGCCGCTCCTAGGCAACCCTCATAATACTTCTAATACCCCCATTCTCCTAACACAGTAATGTAGTCATTGTCAATATGATGCCTATGTGAATTCACAGCTAAGACAGGTGGCATACTATGATTACTTTTCCTTTCCTCTTCTACATTTTATCCCTCCTAGAGTTAATAATTGTCTTTCCCACTCCCATCCAACTCATCTGTTTAATTGTTGTATGTATTTAACACTAATTCAATTGCACTACTCCCATAGTTTAAACATTTATTACAATGAAATACATTACATAGTCTATCAATTTCACCTTCCTGAAAAACTCCTCCATAGAGTCTTATAAAACTCTCAAATCTACACTCATTTTCTCTATGTCTGCCACAGTCATTCTGTTATAATGTCTTCTTTCATCATTATTCTAGGGCCTCCATTAATATCCTGGGGATTTCTTCCCCTACTCTCTTGTGCTGCTTTTCCTGTCTCGTGATCCCTTATTTTTCTCTTCTTGATTTATATTCCTGTTTGTTTGTTTGATAATGCTGGTAGCTAGATATTCCTGTTTGTGAAAAATATTCTTCTCAGAGTCTACCTTAGTAAAAAGCATAGAAAGTAAATTCTTGAGATGTTATATATCTTTCTAAAAAGTCCCTTTACCGTTAGGGAGAGTGGGGGAGGCGGCGGAACTACGTGTGCTTGATCAATCCTCTTTCACTGGAATACTCCTGCATAGTTTGTAAGTCTAATATTAACATCTGAGAGCATTATTAACTTTTTCCATGCACACAAGGCAATAAATTGAATACATTTTATTAGTAATATGGGAAGATTTCTTTTTAAAAATACCTAATTTGAAAGTTTCAGGGCAAGAAAACTTACAGTTCTGCAACAGTTTCTGTTTATTCTCTGACAGTTCCTAGTCTAATCAGGCATTCTTGTTTTTGGGTTGTTCTAGATACACAATTATTGAGACTGTTTTCAAAGACAATAGAATCATGTCATTAAGTGTCCATTTAATATTTCACCGAAAAGCTTTTAACCCTAAACTTAATTAAAAAAAATTTTTTGAGACAGTCTTGCTCTATCACTCAGGCTGGAGTGCAGCAGCATGATCTTGGCTCACTGCAACCTCTACCTCCAGGGTTTCTGCCTCAGCCTCACAAGCAGCTGGGACTACAGGTATGCACCACCATGCCTGACTAATTTGCTATAATTTTAGCAGAGATAGGGTTTCACTATGCTGGCCAGGCTGGTCTCGAACTCCTGTCCTCAAGTGATCTGTCTACCTTGGCCTCCCAAAATGCCAGGATGACTGGCATGAAACACCGCTCCTGGCCCCAACCTTAAACTTTTTAAATAATAAGATTAAATTAGCCCCAACTTAACCAAAGGCCTTCTTGTTTATCATACTATGAAATTTCAGAATCCTGGAAACAAAATGAGATATTCACAGCTAGATTTACATAAATGCCTTTGGCTAACAGAAGCATATCTCCTATATTTACTGCTATTTGTTTTTTAAAAATAGATTTTTATCTCTTTTCAAATCTAGAGAGAGTTGGGAATATGACAATGTAAACTATTTGTTATTACACAGAAAATATAACCAAAGCAGCTGGGCATGGTGGCTCATATCTGTAATCCCAGCACTTTGGGAGGCCGAGGCGGGCAGATCACCTGAGGTCAGGAGCTTGAGACCAGCCTGCCCAACAAGGCAAAACCCTGTCTTTACTAAAAAACACAAAAAATTAGTTGGGCGTGGTGGTGCGTGCCTGCAATCCCAGATATTTGGGAGGCTGAGGCAGAAGAATCTCTTGAACCCGGGAGGCGGAAGTTGCAATGAGCTGAGATCATGCCACTGCACTACAGCCTAGGTGACAAGAGTGAAGCTCCATCTTAAAAAAGGAAGAAGAAAAGAAAATGCAACCAAAGCATCTCCTATTTGAAACCAAATGATACACTTTTTAATCCTGTGGACTTAGTTTTCTTCCTTTGTTAAATAGAGTGTTTAGGTAAAAGGGTAAATTTAACATTTGTGGGGTGCTTTCTTATGCAAGGTACTTTAACAGTATCAAATTTAATCTGTACAAAATTTAACACATTTTATTTTTTAAATTTTACAGATAAAAAAACTTCATAAGAGATGTTAGCTAATAGAGAGGTTAATTAGTAAGAAGTAGAGGCCTGTGCGGTGGCTCACACCTGTAATCCCAGCACTTTGGGAGGCTGAGGCGGGCGGATCACGAGGTCAGGAGATCGAGACCATCCTGGTCAACGTGGTGAAACCCCGTTTCTACTAAAAATACAAAAAAAATCAGCCGGGTGTGGTGGCGGGCACCTGTAGTCCCAGCTATTCGGGAGGCTGAGGCAGGAGAATCGCTTGAACCTGGGAGGTGGAGGTTGCAGCGAGCCGAGATTGGGCCACTGCACTCCAGCCTGGTGACGGAGACTCCGTCTCAAAAAAAAGAAAAAAAAAGGTATTAGAATAAATTTGTTGGACTCAAAAGCCCAAGCTTTTTTTTTTTTTTTCTCGCTTTTCTTGTTTTTTCACTATTAGTGCTTCTTATATAAAATAGAGGGACTACTGCTTACCTTGCAGAAAATTGTAAGGGATACATAAAGTAATATGGGAAAACACGGACACAAAAGTATTTCCAACAATGTGTCCTCCTTATAAAGACTTAGGAGGTAAGACAGGTAATGATGGATGGATCAGAAAAGTCAAAGAAACAAAAATTAGATATCAAGACCAGAGTTGGCAATTGGTACTGCGATGTTGGATTGCTACTGACACCTAGTGGCTTACTGCTAACAACAAGATAAAACCAGAAAAAAGAAGGGATGGGGAACTACTCGTTACAATCTGGAAGACTAGCAACTTATTTTCCATAAATACTGTGCTCTGAATTACTTTATCATGAGTGTCAGTAGAGTTTCCATCCATGCTATATCTTCATTGCTAGCAATGGTAAGTGCTCTGTAAAATATGAAATGATGCTGAAAACATACTCTTGGTATCTTCTCTGGAATACTCCTCCGTAATCTATCTGTTTCTGGTGGAAATCCATCCCACTGCACTGAACACTTCTTTATTGCAGTCTAAGAAACTAAGTTGTTGGATTCACAGAAAAATCCTTCTCGTTCTTCTGAGAATGAATGACTAGTGGTTCTCGATTAAGTTTCACTAATTGTAAAATATGACTTGAATGTTCCTTGCAGTTTAATGGTGTCATAACTACATAAATATAAAAAGACATGTACATACAATAGTCTGTCAACTAAACCACCATATTTTACCAATGACAAATACAAATATTTATAAAATGCACAATTAGTACTTTGAACCAAAGAAATACTATGGTGTATGAGCAGTCAGGCTACTCTTATACCTGCCATGATATGCGCTCTATCCCTGCTATTGTTTCCAACATGCAGAAGATTAAAAAAAAATCATACACAACTGGCATTAAAAGGTTTGTGTAGAAGAATCTGTAACTATGAGACTATAGCTAGAATTTATAATATCCTGTTATTCATTCTTGTTCAGGGCAGAGACATTCCTGATCGAAATTATTTTTAGTTGTTATACTCTGAACTGGAATTTCTGACTTGGCCATTAGGATCCTGCAATAAGAACCTATGAACTTGGTTTCATTCACATCTATCTACTGCTCTGTGTGCTTCAAGCCGTTCCTTTGGGTGAGAGACCATTAGGATAAATAATATATGCTAATTTATTACCTAATATCATAAGCTTGTACCAATCTATGACAACTATTTTGATGAATAGCAACTAGAACTGTAAATACACAAAATACCAATAAAAGATCAGTATTTATAATACTAAATACGGGTATTACAAGTTATATATACATGCTATGTATAAAGGGAGCTATATATGCAGTATGGCATGATTCTTAAAAGATACATGTCATTCAGACTTATTTTTAGTTATTGACAGTAGGGCCTAACATTTGTCCCAAAATTTTAAATGTGCTTCTATTACTCAATCTGACAGAAATTTGTTACTATGTTTAAATTATTTTCTATATGTGCCATATATATTGACTGTACAAATTCAAACACCTTCTGTAAATAAATCCTTTCGCAATATGCAACATAAGTAAATGGAACAAGGTATGGATACTTACTGTATTGTTTTTTCTGACAGCAGAAATACATGGAAACAAGAGGAAAAAAGGCAATGATATAAAAATAAAATGAAAAAAAGATGAAAATATGAATGAAAAGGAAACAGAGGCTGAAGAGACGCAGTGTTTTGTGATGTACCTTGAAGCCAGTATACACCTTCCTGCAGTCCTTCTCCCTTTATGGCATCACTAGCGCTGAAATAAAATCCAGAAGAAACATATCCATCTCATTACATCATAAAACTGTAAGAATAAAGGGTTACAATTTTGCCATATGGAGAATTAGTAGATTCTAGTAACATATATCTGAGCAAAACTGGTTAAGCACTGAAATTGAATATAAACAGAATATAAAAATCTGAGTGCTCAGGAACAAGATACATTTATAATTTATAAACAGATTTGAAAAGCATATTGCTAAAAAGTGATTTTGTCCTAGGACTAATTCTTAGACTGACATTAACAAAACATATACCTTGAGTTATTCTTCCACTGGTAGAAAAGTTTTGTGTAGTCCACTATACTACTTTGCTCAGTTCCAGTGGTTCAATCGCCTTATTAGAAATGCTTGACTTGGGTTATAATACAGCTATATGATGGCATTGCTTTATTTGAAATGGAATTGGATATCTTTAGGATAAAAACTCATTAATTACAGCTTTGGTAAGATGGTAGAGCAAAACAAAAACTTGGTAGATCTCAATCATTTTCTTATTAGCTGAGGGAGCTTCGCTAGGTCACTGAACTCTTCTGTCTTCAGTTTTAGCATCTGAAAATGGGGCAATAGTACCACTGACCTTATATGGTAACTGTGGAAACTAAATATTTGAGGTATGTATACAAAACACCTAAAACAGGTGTTTCCATTGTCTTTCCATTCTTGAGAGACTAAACTTAAATTCTTATTGTGAGATTTTATAATCATAATTAAGTAGATAAATGAATAAAATGCAGAGAATTTTTGAAGTATCAGATAATCTTTTTTAAAGATACAGACAGTTTCTTATAACATGTTATTGATCTAGTCATTTATTTTCTAAATATGATTGTACAATAGCAATTAATATACACAATTATATTTTCTGAATGATTAGGGTTCCTTTTAGTGTGCTGAAGCATAAATTTAAAAAGTATAGTGAAGCACCAAAAAGAATTAACTTGATTCTAATCCAAATAAAAATTATCTCCAAGAAATTCCTTGGTAGACTAAGAATATGGCTTATCATAGAATTGTTACAAAACACAAAGAAAGAAACAACAAGAGATACACAATTATTGAAAGTAAATTACTAACTATCCATGGCAAGAGTAAAACATCAGTAACTGAAACACTTAAGATCAAGATATTAATTTTATCATACATCTACAGTTTCAAACAATTAATACAACAAAACCTTTCCCCTCTGGTGTAGGTGTCATTACCCTTCTAAAAACTTCTTTTCCTAACAAATGTCTGCATTCTATCTTTCTTCTCAAACAAATAAGAATAAAGCAAAAATCTTGGCCCTGTGTGATATGTCCCCTGGTGATTTCTTAGTGGCCTCATTTCCTACAATTTTCCCTTAGATTGCTCTGCTGCAGCCAACCTGGACTTCTTGCTGCTCCTGGAACACACCAGGTACATTCTCAACCAAGAAGAGCCTTCTTCTTGCTGGTCTCTCTATCTGGATAGTTAATCCTCCAAACCATCATATGAATTGCTCCCTAACTTCAATTAGGTCTTAGAGGGGGAGGAACTCCCATTATTCTTTCTCTTATTATCACACTTTATTTTTCCTCATCCTCCCAGCTGATATTTTATACATTTGATTATTTGTCTCCTACACAAGATGGTAAACAAGTGTACACACACACACACACACACACACACACACACACACACACAATCATGATGCCGGGGACTGAGTCGAAGAACACATCTGAAGAGGATTAACACAATCAGACCCTGAAAATCAGAGCTGACTATATGTTTAGTACAATGGTCAAACATAAAACATATAATTTTTCTTTAATTTATTGGACTATACTTCTCTATGATCTTCCCTTTATTGCTCAGTAAATTTACTTGTACCCAAGGCAGGAGATAGATAATATTTTACCTATGATTCACTGAGCATTACCTTCATATTTAAAATAGAAAAAGGACAAATATATTTTCAATTTTATATATGTTTTTAAAAACATTGCCAAAAATAAAGAACAAACTGAATAAATGAGAAACTAATTTGAACCTAGTGAGGAGAGGTCAAATTTGAATTACGGATAAGTCACAAATACACACGTTTAAAAGAAATACTTGGCAGTCTTCTATAAGTTATTCAGAAAATCTAGCAACTGGCTATATAACTAACATTCTACATCCTTATAAGTATCGGGATATTACTTTTTTTCTCACAGAGAAACACTGAGATGTCACAATTGAATAAATAAATCTGTTAAAAATTAATGGTTAATTATTTAAAGTAGAAAAGAGGGTCAATCTCAATTCTTAATACAACACAAAATTTAGAAGTAATCAATTTAGGTATTATTTAGAGAAATAATAAAGGTTCTATCTCAAGACGTTTCTTTATCCAAAATCCCACCTGTCTTTACTTACTAAATACCACAGAACCTCAAATTCCAACTCAAGAACCATTTGTTAAACACTGACTTTTCCTCTGATCCTAGAGTAAGGAAGGTTTTACTTGGGATATGCAGGGTTTTGCTCCTGGAAAAGAAGTGCTAGAGACTTTGAATACTGCAGTTTTAAGGGCTTTCCTAAGGTCTCTACTATTACTCTTTCAGCACCAAAACTAGTTCCTAAAGTTGCTTTCTGAACTCTATTACCTCCTTTCTTCATATTCTAGTTCACCTTCTAGTAGCAGGGCATCTCTCTGCTTCTGTGTCCAATCTTTCCCCACAGATATCTTCTTAAAAAAAAGGGAAAACTCTGGCTTGGAAAAGACGTCTTACAGCAGAGAGAGGCAGGTGGGTAGGTAGAAGGGAGTTTAATATGGTAGTGGTAGGCAGTAAAATACTATCTAATATATAATCTGTTTATCCTTATTAGAATATTTTGTTAGAAAGGCACACTGGAGTTAAATAAGAAACTGTTTTCCAAATAAGCAGTGCATAATAATTTCCACACTAATTAGAGTTTAACCTTATCAGGATGTCTAATAAAATCAAAATTTCCATTTCCATTTATTAATTTTAACAAATATATATTCTGTACCTATTACACTCCAGGTACTATGACTACTGTAGGGTTATTAAAGTGAAGAAAACTGACAAAGCCGCAAATGTCGGGGAGCTAACACACCTGTGTAGGCAGACAGACTACAACCCCCCCCCCCCAAAAAAAAAGCAGTCACATGGTTATAGTGACTCTAGCAGGCCAGGAAAATTATTTCGGAAAATGATTCAAAGGAGGAGGACACAAGTGCAAATGCCCTGAGAGGGGAGTGTGCTTGGCCGACTCCGTGTGCAGAAGGAAATCAGTGTAGTTGAAGTCCGTCAGTAAGTGAGCTTCTAAGTTATTCCATTATAAGAGCTGTTTATATTTTCCATCCCCACAACATTTAAAATTTTCAACAGTAATATATTTGTAAAAACCTACAACGCCACAATTCTATAAAACAAAATCCTTAGCTTATATCCCACAATGTTTGATCACTGAAAAATGAGGTCAGCAGAAACAACTCTGAAGTTTGTATTTTTTCAGAAAGATACGATGAAAAGTAAATATAAAACTTTACCAAATATGCCAGGGTTTATCCTTGATGTTCTCTAAACACAGCAATTGAGACACTTTTACAGATGTCAGTGCATCTCTAAGATCCATTTTATTTGCAAAGAATAAGATTGGAATTCGACGGTGTTTAATATCTAAAAGAGAAAATAAGACTATCATCACACTTCCAGATTTTTAGGTCACTTTGTAGTAAATCCTTAGTACTGAAATCCATGAAATTGTTTTTCAATCTTTTTTTTCCATATCACACATATAGAAATATTTAAAGACACATACTGTCATACTGTTAGGCATGTATTTGAGCAATAAGAAAAATTTAAAAATACTTCTTCCTAAGACCATCTGTCCTCTGGTTAGGAGCTTTAACCAAAGATGGGTGAGGTGGGACTCGGGGCTTAATAAGCATTACAGAGCAGTACCTAAAAAAAAGGGTTAAATATTTTGCTTGTTTCCTTTTAAATTGTGAACAGAAAAGAGGCAAATTTCAAGTAGAAGTAGAAGGAAGAGAAATTGGAACCTTATTTATGTTTTTAGTCATAATAAAATAAGTAACAAGCTAGGTTTTTTAAAAAGATGTTTTTACCTTGTCATGATTTTGGAAATATTTTTCATTTTTTTGAATAGATAATACATTTAAATAGCTCAACATTCAGAAGATACAAAATGGTATACAGTAAAAGAATCTCCTTCCTAAGTTTGTCCTAGGACAACTGTCTCTGTAGAAAAGGCAACCCAAAACATCAGTGTCTTGGCATCTTTGTAGAAATATTTTATGTATTTGCTATAAACAAAACTATTATATATGATTTTCATACCAATAGTAGCAGGCCAACCTCATTACTTTATACCTTTATCTTTTCACTTCTTTACATATCTTAGATCTGATCCCATATCAGTACGTACAAAGCAACTTCTTAATTATTTTAACAGTTCTGCAATATTCCTCCTTTTAGTATGTGTACCATTAATTTATTTAACCAGAACCCAACTGAGGTATCTCTGTTACCAATCTTTACAACCATGAACAATCCTGCAATAAATAAATGTGTACGCAGGTAATTTTGTATATCGGCCAGTATGTCCTAAGGATAAATTTGAGAAGTGGAATTGCTGGGTCAAAGGACATATAAATTGCTATTTTGATAGACAGAGATTGCCAAACTGCTTTCTCTTAAAAATTATGTCAATTTACACTTAAACAGCCATGTATAAGAATGAGTGTTTCCACTCCCCTAGCCAAAAGTGTGCTATGAAACTTTTTGATATTTTCCATATCATAGGTGATAGAAAGGCCAAGAATCTTTCCACATATTCGAAAGATATTTAAATGTACTTTTTTGTTGACTTATCTTGTTATGTCCTTTCCGCATTTTCTATTAAGCTCTTATATTCTTATTGCTTTTTAGAAACACATGTAGCATAAAAATAGCCCTGTAGCTATGATATGAGTTGCAGATATTTTCCCTTGCCTATCATTGTCTTCATCTGTTCACAGTACATTTTGCTATTCAAAGATTTTTTATGGTCTTCAATTTTTTTTTTTTTTTTAAATGAGATGGAGTCTTGCTCTGTTGCCAGGCTGGAGTGCAGTGCCACAATCTTGGCTCACTGCAACCTCCGCTTCCTGGGTTCAAACGATTCTCCTGCCTCAGTCTCCCAAGCAGCTGGGACCACAGGCGTGCGCCACCATGCCCAGGTAATTCTTCGTATTTTTTAGTAGAGATGGGGTTTCACCGTGTTAGCCAGGATGGTCTCGATCTCCTGACCTCTTGATCCACCTGCCTCAGCCTCCCAAAGTGCTGGGATTACAGGCATGAGCTGCCACACCTGGCCTATGGCCTTCAATTTTTAAAAAACCTTCATATACACTTCAGCTGAGAAATCCCTGCCTTGGAAATCTATCATAAAATAAAAGAAATAGTACATTAAGATCCACAGACAAGGTTTCAGTTGAGGAAACCAGGGTTCCCATTGTTTGAAGCATATTTTGGAGGTACTATTTCATTTTACTGGTCAACATTCTAATATTTTTTGGGGAAAAAACTGGAAAGATTAATACAAAAGGAAGACATAATCGAAAATGCATTCTCAATCTAGATATAAGACCGCTTTCCTGTTTTTTGTTTGTTTTGAGACAGAGTCTCACTTTGTTGCCGAGGCTGGAGTACAGTGGTGCTATCTCGGCTCACTACAACCTCCACCTCCTAGGTTCAGGCAATTCTGCTTCAGCGTCCCGAGCAGCTCACGCCTGACTAATTTTTGTATTTTTAGTAGACACAGGGTTTCACCATGTTGGCCAGGTTGGTCTCGAACTCCTGACCTCAAGTGATCCACCTGCCTGTAATCATCCCAAAGTGCTAGGATTACAGGTGTGAGCCACTGCGTCTGGCCAAGACTGCTTAGTTTTAAACATGAAAAAGTCACGTAAAAGGTACACACTGGATAATTTTTTTTTTGAAAAATTTGAACAAGCTTGAGGTCATCTTTAAAAAATACCAGAGATATTGTGTATTGTGGTTAAGCAGTAAAATTTATTAGAAAGCCCCACATTATTTCCATTCCATTTCTAAAAAGTCCACAGTTTTCTTAAACCACCATCCTTTTCTGAAAGTCCTAGAACAAGCACTATTTCAATTGTTTTGACATAGGAAGGCGAGAAATGCAGTTTTACAATACTTACTGGAGCACTGTTTGTAGTGGGGGTTTGGAGGGGAGGAAAGTATTCATCAACAGGTGAGTGATTAAATAAACTGTGGTACATTCATAGTAAACCATATTAGGCATTGTTAAAAAGAATAATTACATATAATTTGATTTGGAAGGATATCTATCATTAAGTACTAATTGAGAATAGAAACATGCAAAAGAGTGTAAAGAATATGATTCAGTTTTGGTAAATAACAATGACAGTCACCACATCCCTCAACCCTACAGATATTTTTGGTCTCTCTCTCTCTCTCTCTCTCTCTCTCTATATATATATATATATATATATATATATATATATATATATTTATATGCATATGTGTGTATATGTGTGTGTGTGTATGACATATATAAAAGTATGAAAGAAAAAATACCTAAACACTTGTATCTTGAAGGAGATGGGGATCTGACATTTGGAGGTTAATATAAAAAAGATTTGTTTTGCAGGGCGCGGTGGCTCAGGCCGGTAATCCCAGCACTTTGGGAGGCGATCACGAGGTCAAGAGATCGAGACCATCCTGGTCAACATGGTGAAACCCCGTCTCTACTAAAAATACAAAAAATTAGCTGGGCATGGTGGCACGTGCCTGTAATCCCAACTACTCAGGAGGCTGAGGCAGGAGAATTGCCTGAACCCAGGAAGCGGAGGTTGCGGTGAGCCGAGATCGCGCCATTGCACTCCAGCCTGGGCAACAAGAGCGAAACTCCGCCTCAAAAAAAAAAAAAAAAAGATTTGTTTTAAAGGAGTTCCCACAATAAATATGTAAGAAATGCTGTGACTAAACACACACACAAACTCACATATACATAAATGCATGAAAAGATAAAAAAATAATTTTAATGGTTGTTGAAATATACAGATTATTTTTATTTTATTTTTCTGTCTTATTTTGTTTTGCTATTGGCACAAATTATTTATGTAATCAGTAAAAAAAAGCATTTTAATTTTTTGAGGAAATAAATGTTAGAGACCCCAAAAATATTGCAAAATGCTCTTCATTTACATTATAACGCAAAATTTACAAAATACGGTGATATACATAAAATATTACAAATTCTGTATCATGTATATGTTTTAAAATCAAAAATTTTAAATAAAAGATAATTACATAGTGTAAGCAATACCCAAAGAACAAAACATTACTCATAAATGAACCCCAAAGCACAGACACAGCCTGAAAGACACACACATACCTGGATGATTCAGAAGAGTATCGAGTTCTTCTTTGGCCACAACCATTCTTAATCTATCACTACTATCAATGACAAAAATAATAGCTTGGCCTTCTCTGTGTAATGTAAAGAAAAAGAAAAATTAAGACTATATTTACAAATTTTTCCATGTTTATTATATGTATTTCTTAACCTAAGTATTATCTCTTTACGTCCTACGTGCATTTATCATTAGAGGTTTTGGTGCTATTTCATGTTTGTTTATGTGACTGATAAATATATAAACCATTAGTCATGTTTCATGTAAAATACCTTTTCATTCAGATAATAAAATAAATGACTTGCTTTCATAATTTAAAAAAATTATGAGTATTTTTTTTTAAATATCAGAATACGAGAAAATGAATTAAAATACCATAGCCCTATTACACAGATATAATCAGTATTAATATTTTGGTATAAATGTATACTTTGTGTATATTACATGTGAATAAACTATATATGTATTTAAAATGGAATCCTGTTTTATACCTTGCTTTTGTAATATATATGTAAATTTCCTTCATTTTATGTTTTAATACCATGGTTTTACTATTTTTACATGAAACACTAAAGCACTACATCAATGTTTCTCAAAGTTTTTTTTACCATAAACCATAGTGAGAAATATATTTTGCATTAAGATACAGTAGACACACAAGTATATATATATAATTTAAAAAAATTCTTCAAAAATGTTTTAATTACATTTAGTAAAAACATAGAAAAATTTATACCAACTAATCAATAATCCACTTACAAATATTATTAAACAATATTTTATTTTCAACCATTTCTATTTAATTAGAGAAAATAGTAAGTTATTTTAAAAAATATACTAAGATATACTATGCCATACACACACACACACACACACACACACACACGCACAGAGTCACTTTTCCTTTTTGACAAGAGGACAGAAAGCCATCAGAAGGATAGGTCTGCAGAGGGGCAGTCTTCATGAACCAATGATGGTTTGCTGATAACGGAAGTAGCTAGTAAAGCATGGATAAAAGTAACCTACCCATGGTAACCATATTTTATGGATCTACAACTTGAAGATGTGGTTTATGATTACCTGAAGCCTCATCTTCTACTATTTCCCTGTCCTTTTCAGGTTTTTATTACAAGTTTCTATTTTCAGATTCTTGACAGTCTCATATGATTTCCTGCCTTTGCCCCTTTGCAATTGCTGTTTTCTCTTGCTAGAATCCCCAGAATTGGTATCAGTTTTGCAGGCAATAATAGCTTTCTCTGGCTGGCATAGTTTATAACAGATTATTTAATTTTTTTTTTTTTTTGGTACTCCACATTTTCTACCTTTTTTTTTTTTTTTTGTAGATGTTACCTTTACAATCAGAATACAGATTTTATTTTATTTATTTTTGAGACAGGGCCTCACTCTGTCACCCAGGTTGGAATGCAATGGCCCAATTATAGCTCACTGCAGCCTCAATCTCCTAGGTTGAAGTGATCCTCCTGCCTCAGCCTCCTGAGTAGGTGGGACTACAGGCACGCCACCATGCCTGGCTAATTAAAAAAAAATTTTTTTTGGCCAGGCGAAGTGGCTCATGCCTGTAATCCCAGCACCTTGGGAGGCCAAGGCGGGCGAATCACAAGGTCAAGAGACCAAGACCATCCTGGCCAACTTGGCCAACATAGTGAAACCCCATCTCTACTAAAACAAATACAAAAATTAGCTGGGTGTGGTGGTGGGCACCTGTAATCCCAGCTACTTGGAAGGTTGAGGTAGGAGAATTGCTTGAACCCGGGAGGTGAGGGTTGCAGTGGGCTGAGATTGTGTCACTGCACTGCAGTCTGGGCAACAGAGTGAGACTTCATCACATAAAAAAAAATTGAATACAGACAAGATCTCGTTATGTTGTGCAGGCTGGTCTCCCAACTCCTGAGCTTAAGCAATCCTCCCACCTCAGCCTCCCAAAATGCTAGGATTACAGGTGTGAGCCACCACACCCGGCCCAGATTTTATTTGTTTGCTTATATACATCATCTATATTTTCATGTGGTTTGACAGATTGGCAGAAGAAAAAGCTTGCTTGAAAAGTCCATTTTGACTTAACCTCATAGTGGCAAATTGCATTAAATACGAAGCTCAGATCTTAAAAGTTCAGCATGTACATAGCTGTTCACTGTGTTTTATTTATGTTTTTCTTTTACTTAGCCTTTATGGTAAGCATCCTTTATTTTAGCATTTCCCCACACAGCACCTTTCTGAGGATTACTTGCTTAACAAAAATTAACTGCCTGCTCCTTATGCTCTTTTTATATTTCCATTTTTTACTAGTAAATTTTAAATTCTGAAATACATGTGTACAAAATGCAAGTTTGTTACATAGGTACACACGTGCCATGGCGGTTTGCTGCACCCATCAACCCCTGTGCTACATTAGGAATGCTTTTACGCTGTTGGTGGGACTGTAAATTAGTTCAATCATGGTGGAAGATGGTGTGGCGGTTCCTCAAGGATCTAGAACTAGAAATACCCAGCAATCCCATTACTGGGTATATACCCAAAGGATTATAAATCATTCTGCTTTAAAGACACATACACATGTATGTTTATTGCATCACTGTTCATTATAGCAGACTTAGAGCCAACCTAAATGCCCATCAATGATAGACTAGATAAAGAAAATGTGGCACATCGACATCATGGAATACTATGCAGTCATAAAAAAGGATAGCTCATGTCCTCTGCAGGGACACAGGTGAAGCTGGAGGCCATCATTCTCAGCAAACTAACACAGGAACAGAAAACCAAACACCACATGTTCTTACTCGTAAGTGGGAATTGAACAATAAGAACGTATGGACACATGGAGGGCAACATCACACACTGGGGCCTTTTGGAAGATGGGGGTGCTAAAGGAGGGATAGCATTAGGAGAAATGAGGAGAGATGTAGATATATATGAAGTGAAAGTCTTCTGAAAAAATACTTACAAATAGCTTTTATTTTATTCTATTTGATTTAACAGCTGATAGCCAGTGATTGAACTAGTTTAAGGATTCACTGATGGATCACACGAGCACTTGAAAAATTATTAATTATTCCTCCGCACCAACTTCTTTAAATGATTCTAGAGTATTGCACTGCATGAATGTGTCATCAAATATTGTGTGAAACAATTGCTGCTGCACTTTTAGGTTATTTCCAATTTTCATCATTATGAAAAATTTTAGGGCAAATATTCTCCTAGAGATACCTCTAGTTTAAAAGTTCTTGATGCTTTAAGATTTATTCTTAGGAATAACAATTCTAGGACGACATACATAATTTAAAGTTTTGGAAAAACATTTGCAAACTGTCCTCCAGGAATGCTGTATCAATTTACATGACCCAGAACTTTGGTCACTCCTTTGCCAGCACTGGCTTTTACTGTTCTTTTCAATATTTGCCATTCTAATAGCATATTATCTTCACATAGGTCATTAATTGTCTGTGAGGTTCAGTATCTTTTCATATATTTATTGGATATCTGTGCTTTTTTTGCAAATCATTTATTCTAGTTATAAATTAAGATTTTAAACTTCACTGTGATTAATAAATGAATATAAAAATGAAGCTTTTTTATATCATTTTCTATTATTAAAAAAGGATAATGCAGATTATCACAGACATATATTACCAATATATATAGAAATCAGAACAATCAGAAATATCTATCAAGATCTATAAAAATGTTCAATCTCTGAGCCAGTGATTTTATTTCTGAAATTCACTGTAAGGAATCATGACCTGGGGCTAAGATTTACACAAGATTTTGACTGAAGGACTGTTTACTGTCTCTGTATGTAAGCCTGGAACCAGAAAGTCTGAAGTCCTGCCTGCCTTGGCTGTCATCTCCCACCAGCTGCCTGCGCTCACCATTGTCCCTAATCACTCAGTGGAGCTTCCCTGGACAAGCCTCTCACCCCACCTGCCATCTCCACTGTTCTTATGATAATGTGAATACCTCTCACCCCACCTGCCATCTTCACCGTTCTTATGATAATGTGAATGCTCCTTGCCCCATCCTGCCATCTTAACTGCTCTTCTGCCTTACCTAACCCACCACTGTAACTGAATTGAGGTCATGTATAATCCTTGCCCCTACCCTCACCACAGTAACTGATCTTACTCTGCAACACCCACGCCCCCCAAAATTACCCCAACCTATAAAACCAATTCCCACCCTTACTCCCTTCGCCTGTCCTTTCTCGGATCCGGCCCGCTTGCACCCAAGCGAGAAGTAAAACGGCCTTGTTGCCCACACAAAGCCTGTTTGGAAGATCTCTTTATTAAATGCAGTTAATATTCGGTACTACTGGATGCGAATAACATTTACAATTTTCAAAAACTGAGATAGCCTTCATGTCCTAGAGTACAGAAATGGTTAAAGATATTTTGGCAAAGCTGTGTGAAAAAGTATTAGGCAGCCGTTAGTTACATTCATTGCATGTTTTTCTTGATTTACGCATACCACAGAATGTTAACTGAAAAAAGCAAGATACAAAATTCTATGCGGTACATAATTTAGATGGTTCCTTTTCCTTTAGTTATATAAAGTATATATTAAATATTTTAAAAAAGAAGAAACATATCAAAAACATTGACAATGGTGAATTTATGAATAGTGAGATTTATCGGAAACATGTTTTAAATATTCTCTTCTATATTCTCCAAATTTAAAAAACGTGCACTCCTTATATTTTTGCATGCTATTACCTTTTTATATTGTAAAAATAATATGCAAAAATCATATAATATTTAACATTATAGAATCATATAGATTAGAAAGTAAATGTCTCTCTTCACCAAAGAGGATGTGGAAAAAAAAAAAAAAAAGTAAACTTCTCTTATAACCCCACTGTTCCAAAAATGAATGCTACTAACGGTTTGGTGCATATTCCACTAAGACCTTTCTTCTTTCTATATATACGAAGCACATACTTACAGTAAAGATAAATATTTACAGTAACATTTTTACATAATTGTTATAAAAATGTTATAAATAACACTAACACATATGCTTCTACATATATTTTTGCCCATAAGTCCTGGTAATATAATACTTTTCTAAAAGTAAAAATGCTTGCTGGAGGTTACGAGCATTTTTCATTTTAATGGGTATCAATAAGTTATCCTGAAAAAGATATTACATTCTCACAGGGGTGGCTAATTTTGACAAGAGAACACTTTACTGATCTTTGTAACCTTTTTCACTCTAGTAGATCAGAATGTACCTTTTATTGTTGATTTTTCAATAGTAATCATATTCTCCATTCAATCTACAATGTAACCATATTATTCTAGAATTCATAAATTTCTTCCAAAAACAGCATGAAGAAAAAAGGAGTTAAAATCAAATAAAAACAAAGTTCACTTTCCTACTATTTTTTCTCTCTACATATTTTTGTAATAAAAATTAAAGTATTTTTAAAGTAGCTAAACATGTATTTTAAAAGGAATTATTTATTAACTAATTGGAGGAGGAATTTTAAAAATCCTGTATTGACAACTCAGGTTTCCTAAACAAAAAACACATAAAATGCATCTCCCCAAGGAATTTAATGCAGAATACCACACAAACATGCCACTTTTTCTTTTCCAAATTGACCCTGAAGCACTCTCTTTTTTTCCTCTCTCTCAGAAGTCTTCTGTATCTACGATTTAAATAGGCCTTCAGTTTATTAAAGGACTCATTGAAAAAAGAATTTGAATAAATCTCCTCTGGTTCATATCCCAAAAATATATACCTTAAAATGTTTGTTCTCACATTATCAGGAAAGACTTAATGAAAATCTAAATCTTATCTGGTAAATATCACATACCATTTCAAGGCAGAAGTTCATAATGACAAAACAGAGTTTAGTTAAGAGATACTGTTTTAAAGTTTCAGACTCTAAAAGTGAGTTACATTGCTCTTAATGGAGTCTTTTTTAAAATTTTTTTATTTTTGATTTATTTATTTTTTATTGCATTTTAGGTTTTGGGGTACATGTGAAGAACACGCAAGATTGTTGCATAGGTACACACATGGCAGTGAGATTTGCTGCCTAACAGTATTAATAAATTTATTTTAATACCGTATGCAAATCTCCAGAAGGTGTAACACATTTGGGTCCTAGTAACTTGACAGCTATTAGTCTGAAATAAAGTCGTCCCGTGGTTTTGGTGGGGGATTGGCTCCAGGATCCCCTTCAAATACCAAAATCTGCAGAGGCTCAAGTCTCTTATATAAAATGGCTTGGCATTTGCATATAAGAACTATGCAAGTTCTTCCATATTCTTTAAGTCACCCTAGATTACTTATAATACCTAATACAATGCCCACACATCATCTCACTCATGTGCTTTCAATAGAGTAGCTAGTGGATGATAATTTAAGTTTTGCTTTTTGGCACATAACTTCAAGCCATAGTAAATATGGTTACAGAGATGGAAATGGACCAAGTGCCATGTGAATGACGAGGACAAAATAGCAGGGCAGAACAGTGAAACTTCAGCGGAGATGACTTTTGAGCTGATTTTTAAAGCAGGAATACGTTAACCTTAAACTGAAGTGAAGCAGGATAGAATAGGGCATTCAAAACAGAGCGAGGCCACCGTCATGAGGGACCTGAAGCACTGACAAATAATGTGGAGTCTGATGACATGCTTTTTAGATTAGGAAATGTTCGTAAATTATATGGGAAAAAAAAGCCAAACAGCCACATAATTCTTTGGATTTCTAGTCATTATTATTAGTAAAATAAAACCATCTAGTTAAGCAGCATTCACAGATGTACTTACTTATAATAGTGTTCCCAGAGATTTCTGTACCTTCCTTGACCTGACATGTCAAACACCGTAAATGATAAACTACAAAAAGAAGCGAAGCATGACTACATTATAAACTGAAAGCATACCTTTTACTTAAAATTTTAAATTATTTACAATCAAAGAAATTAGCCTTCAAATGCAATATTCAACATGGGACAATTTACAAATAAAAGTTATATGAAATAAATTTATTAATATAAATATGACTTTGCAATAAATAACATAAAACAGATGTTTTCTTTGCTAGTGAAGTTATCAGAGTTTGCCCAAACTCTAAATTCTGAAAAATAAACCAGCCATAGTGGTAGAAACATGTTAATACCTACGAGATTCTGAAACAACAAATGACTTTTCTCTAAGGGTAGGAAGACCTAACACTGTTATTTTTCAATAGCAACTTTTTTGTCAAGGGATAAAGGGGATTACCTGGATGACTTGAATTTCTCGATGCTGAATCCTGTTGTTGGAATGATATCTTGAGATTGAGCCTTTAAGAGAAAAGACAAATTCAGAAATTTACAATCACCAGAGATGAGTTTTTCCTCAAGTTAAAGTATCCAGATTTTCAGTTTGTGAAATCTATCACAATGGAGATTACAGGATTTAACAAAGTTATAATGTTTTCAATAAGATCACTGTGTGTGAATTCTTTACAGAAGTTTAGGGTTTACTAATAATGAATATGCATAATGTTAATTCACAGTTGTGGCTTGTGGCATGTTACCAAGGATATAAAGGTTTTATAAGTTGTTTAATAAGTCACCCTGAGTTCACATGTAGGACTTTCTAATCTTTCAACACATACTTATTGAGTTTATATATGTTCCAGACTGCCCTCATGCGTAGATGGCTCCTGCCTTCATGGAGTTTACAAGCTAGAAGAGGTAAATAGCAATAAAAAACTAAGCAACAGTTGAACACAATTTTGAGCAGAGATAAGTGTAAAAACAAATGATTTGGGGGTGGGAGGCAGGAGAAAGGGTCTGGAAGGTGCACGGAAGAAACGTACGCAGGAAAAGTCTCTGAAGAGTTGACATCTGACCCAGGAGTGAATGATAGGAGGGGAAGAACTGTGACAAGTTATTGACAAAGAACATTCCAGTCGGAGAAATCTGTCAGTGCACAATCCTGAGGAAGGAAGGAACTTGCCACTGAGGAAATGCAGAAAGCATGAATGTCCAAAGCGTGTTGGTTAAGATAAAGAGTGATGTGTTGAGGTAAGAGAGGTAAGGGATTGAAGGCATTGGTAGTAATTCTGTGTGGAGAAGAGATCAAAAGGGGGCTAGAATACAGCAAAGGACATGTTGACAAGTCCCGCTGACAATTAAAATGTATTAGACTAACAATCTAACTTGTTAAATGCCTCCTAGCACTTTCACCAGAAAAACTACTCCTCTGTTTGAATAAAAATATATCCACTTTCTGATCTAGATGCCTAGAAGTCAATATTGACTCCTCCTTTCCCATTCTCTACGTAGTCATTCTCCAAGCTTTTCGGTTCTATCTCACTAACTTAGTTCAGACACTAATTATGTCTTGCTTTGAATTACTATACCAGCCTCCTAACTGCTCCTACTTGGCTCTGCTACCTTGGACAAACTACTTAATTTTTCTAAGCCTGGTTTTCTCAAATGTGAAATATATTATTATTATCATCCTTAACTCATAAAGTTATCATAACTAAATGAGTTAATGGATATAGAATACTCAACACAGTAAATACTCAACAAATTTCTGATATTATTATAATTATATGCTCATTGATTGCAGTCACATTCCTAATTCTTTTTACATTGTCATTATAACTTAAAAAAAATTCTCCTTCAGTTCATCTTGTTGCTTTTAAAAAAAAATAGGTAGAGGGAAAAGTTTTGCCTCGCAATATTACATTCACTCTGGTAGTCTACTTCTGGGAAATTTAAATTCAAGGAAAGACAGAAGCTCAAAATTCAGTGGAGCTTGGTCATCTATACAGTATAGCAATGCGCTGGTAAAAAGGCTCTCCAGAGCTGCCCTTGTTTTGCCTCTCTGAAGTTTGTTTATTTAGCTTTTTCCTTTTCCTTCTATTTGTTCCAAGACCTGATCTAGTTATTTTTCCAAAAATATATTTTTGTTTATGTTAGACAAAATTCATTTCCTGCTACTAAGATTCCTGCCTCATACCTTTGGCTTCCTTCATTTTAGAACAAACTTTGCAATAAGAAGTTTCCTAAGTTTTAATGTTACCCAAACTTCATTATTTTGATTTTAAGGGCGTTAAATGGGCCAATCACATGACAAAATTACCAGCTATTACTATGAAGATAAAGAATCCAATAACAAAATAGGAAGTTAAAGTTTAAAGAAGTCTCAAAAAAATGTATATTAAAATAGTAACCCTGTCTTCAATGAATCATAATTAGAACATTTGCTTAGCCTCCCCACAATCACCTAACTTCTTCACAAACTATTTCCAGAGAAACTTGCTACTTTACTTGTAGAAATGAAATTCATAAGTTTTCTTTTCTTCTCATTACTTCAAAAGTTCTAGTAGAAAGTAATCAGAGAAAGAAACTTCACAAATTCATCAGGATAGAATAAGATACGTGAGCAATTGCTTCCAAACTAAAGTGGAACTCATTTTTCTCTAATGTATTCCAAAAGATAGTTTACAACAGCAATCTCCCTCTGTTCTATCCAACAACAAATACATTTGGTCATTCTGAAAATTGGACAAGAGTGTAGGAATTACAGTCAGCCCTCTGTATCTATAGCTTCTAAATACACAGATTTAACCAACATGAATTGAAAATAACAATTTTTTTTTTTTTTTTTTTTTTTTTGAGACGGAGTTTTGCTCTTGTTACCCAGGCTGGAGTGCAATGGCACGATGTCGGCTCACCGCAACCTCCGCCTCCTGGGTTCAGGCAATTCTCCTGCCTCAGCTTCCTGAGTAGCTGGGATTACAGGCACGCGCCACCATGCCCAGCTAATGTTTTGTATTTTTAGTAGAGACGGGTTTCACCATGTTGACCAGGATGGTCTCGATCTCTTGACCTTGTGATCCACCTGCCTTGGCCTCCCAAAGTGCTGGGATTACAGGCTTGAGCCACCGTGCCCGGCTGAAAATAACAATTTTTAAAAAGGTAACAATACTATTTAACAATAAAAATATTACAAATGTGGAAATAAACACTAATTATACAGTATTTACATTGTATTAAAGTATTAGTAATCTAGAGATGATTTAAGGTATATGGGAGGATGTGCATAAGTTACATGCAAATACTGCACCATTTTATGTAAGGGACTCGAGCATCCACAAGGATTTTGGTATCTGTGGGAGGGTGGAAGCGGGTGGTGGGAATGTGTGTCCCAGAACAAATCTCCTGTGGTTACTGTATTGGTTGAGTGGAACAAAACATTCTGAGACAGCCCAAAGACACACCAACATAAACAGGAACAGAATAAGATTTCTGAGAGAGATCCTATGTGGTTAGTTTCATTAAGTCTGCGAAAAATTATATCCCTGGTGGCATCAATCATAAACCCCTGGCCAAAAATAAAAGTTGAAAAATCATCCATCAATTCATTCACTCAAAGTGCCAAGCATTATTCTATGTATTTGGGATTCACTGCTGAACAAGAGAAAAATCTATGCTCTTTTATAAAAGGAGAAATTGAATAAGCAAGTTGTGAAGTGAATATGCAAGTTATCAACTAAACAATTTTAGATTGTTTTAAATATTAAGAATAAGGGTGGCCAGGCACAGTGGCTCACGCCTGTAATCCCAGCACTTTGGGAGGCTGAAGCAGGTGGATCAACTGAGATCAGGAGTTAGAGACCGGCCTGGCCAACATGGTAAAAATTCATCTCTACTAAAAATACAAATATATTAGCGGGGTGTGGTGGTGTGCGCCTGTAATCCCAACTACTCTGGAGACTGAGGCAGGAGAATCGCTTGAGCCCGGGAGATGGAAGTTGCAATGAGCCAAGACTGCACACAGAGCGAAACCCTGTCTAAAAAAAAAAAAACAAACCCTAAAAAAACAAAACCAGAATAAGGGTAGCATCACCAAAATGAAGTAGATGCAAGAAGCAATCTGGCTTTACTATCTCCCATAGAAACAAAAACAAATATCCAATACTAAGATTAGCACAAGCAACATCCCAAAACTCAACTCTTCAGGTGAGATGATCCCCAGGGCAACAGACAAGTGAAAAACTCTGAGCAGACATGAAAAGAAATAGACTCTTGGAATCATGTTTCCATACTGGAAAAATGATTGAGTCAGATAGCTACCTTTCCCATCATCTTGAGTTCTTCTGCAGGAAAACTGTTTTCTGCTTTAACCCATGGGATCCTGAGGGCTTGAAGGGAGAAAAATCCCTGAGGACAGCTAGTGACAAAGAGAGGAAGCAGACTAGAGACCTCAGCCTTTGAATTTTTTTTTTTTTTTTATGTCAGCCAAAGGAGATGCCAAATTAGAGTGGCTGTTGAGCAGCATTCTGCCCTGGGAGGCATGTTCCACAGGACCCTCAGCCAGAGTCTTAAACGGACAAGGTTTTCTCTTTCTGGCCACTCCCCACAATCCAGAATGGGCAGTTCTTTGAATATTTGTGAGATCTAAGACAAATCTGGCCTTAAGGCTATATTTCATTCTGAAAAGAAGGCAGCGTCCTAAGGTAAAGGACATTCAGTAGGTTAATTATAAAGAAACTCTAAGCAAACATATCCAGGAGAAGTCAAAACAAACTAGAGACTGAAGACTGGAAAATAAATAACTAATCTTTCACTGTGAAGACACATTCACAAGAAAAAACAGCAAACAGGGAACCATGATGTCCCTTAATGAACACAGCAAGTAGCTAGTGACTAACCCTAATGAGATGGCAATGTGTGAGCACTGAGATCAAGAAGTAAAATAGAAAACTCCAAGATAACATAGGAAAATCATTCAAAAATTTATAGGATATATTTAACAGAGAAACAATAATTTTTTTAAAAAAAACAGAGAAGTCTTGGAACTAAGAAATACATGTGCTAAACTGAAAAAAATACATTAGAGGCTCTTAGCAAAATAAATCAAGCAGAAGAATCAGTGAGCTCAAAGACAGGTTTTGGAAAATAAACAGAGAATAAAAGTGCATAATAAAAAGAAATGAAAATACCTACACAATACAAAAAATAACCTCAAAAAAGCAAATCTAAGAATCATTGGTGTTCAAGAAGGAGTTTAGAAAGGGACTGAAAGCTTATTCAAAGAAAAAAATAACAGAAAACTTTCCAAGTTTAAAAAAAATGATATAAATAACCAGTTTCAGAAAGGTGAAATATCACCAAATAGATACAGCTCAAACGAGATTACCCAAAGCCATTCAATGATCAAACTCTCAAGGATAAAAAACGAGACGATCCTAAAAGCAGCAAGAGAAAAGAAGCAAATAAAAGAAAGGAGTTCCAGTTTGTCTGGCAATAGACTTTTCAGCAGAAACCGCACATGCCAC